CACACGCTAAGGCAGGTCGGACGTGACTACGGACAGACATAACCATGGGTCCTGGAGGCCCTGCTGGTGTAGGGACGTGCTCACGCTGCTGAACGTACCGGAGGTTGTGCGGCTGCAAACCTGGGGCAAAGGGGCTTTGTGGTTGCTTAAATGCTGCGCGGGCCATTTGTGCTGGCAGTCTGCGAGGTCCCGGCAGCCGCTGAGAAGGACAGTGGCTTTCCTCTTCATCAGGAAAGACTCAGACAAGTGGAGACTCCAGATAATTTCCAGAGGTAGAATTCTGTTTCAAAATGAAGAGGGGGACCTCTGAAAGAGCTGTCACCTGTCTGGGGGCTCCAGCTCCCAGGAGACCCAAGACAGACAACACAAAATTCCAACGCACAGGAACAACCAAGCACACAGTGGTGTGACACCACCTTCTTGGTCTGTAGCAGCAGGTAAAAGGGCAAATGGATGATGCACCGAGCTTAAGTGATCACAGATGGCACCACAATTCCTCCACTACCATCATCCCAAATGACAGTAATTAATGTAGATTCCATTTGTTGCTAATTATGGACAAACTGGTCCTCTGCACATTTTTGGGTTGCTTTTACGGACTCAAATCTGGCCTTAAATCAGTTATTGCAAAGGCTCTCCAACTTCTGAGTCCACTAGTAACTGAGCTTATTTGTACCATCATCTGCGTTTCCGAGAAGACAATGAATATGCTGGAAAACACAGATCCTCAGCACTTGGGACTCTATTGGTAAGTTCTTTCCATTGCAAGCCTGACTGGATATACCTTACACTTAACGTTCCTTTCTATTCCAATAAGTAACTTTACCCCTTAAAGTAAGGAGGCCTTGCTGAAAGGTTTCATCAGAAGTTTTCAAAAATATATTACCTGACTGTATCACCCATTTTTATTCATTCTCTTATGAGATCTGATCTTCCTGTTTAAAAAAATTAAACATTTGCAACATCTCTTCTCCAGTCCAGCACTTACCCTCATGCATAATTGTTTTCTTCATTGTATTTTCTCAGGTCAGCAAGTCAAACTTGCTCATTTCTAGACGTTTCCTTTTTTTTTTATTTAGCAAGTGTTATTTGCCATTTAATGGTTATGGAAGTGATAGACGGTAACTTTTGTTACAGGCATTTTACCTGTTTCTTCTAAAACAGCATCTTTCTCTGACACTTCACTCGGAGACACATCTTCTAACTTGTTCCCATGAAGACAGGCGTGTTGTAAAACTTTTCTAAAGGAAATGGATACAGAGGATTAACCTAACTTTGGGGCTGGGGGAGGGAGACTGGAGTGTGATTTTATGTGGACATACACTGTTGGTGTTTTTTTTCCTTTTTATGCCATGATCAAATGTCAACCCCATTGGCTTCCTGCTTAAGATACATTTTGGTGAAAATAAAGCCCCTTCAGCATCTTTTCTGTGTTTAGCATGTCAAAATCCCTTTTTACAATCAATAACATTTCCTGCATACTGCTCAAGACTGAAGAGAGAAATCTCCTACGCGTTGTCCAATTACTTGAACCAAAAAACAGATGTTTGCGTTACCAAAGCTTCTGCCTCCGAGCATATGTGTATGCCACTTGCTCAGGTCCAATGCCACGTGTCACCATCAGCACGCCACCACGTCATTTCTGCTCCCTCTCCCTCCCTGTAATAAACTTGCAAAGCCAGTTTCTAGTTGATCTCGATTGGTTTATTTTAGTTTTACACTTTGTCCCTCACATACAGTTATTTAAGAGTTCTGTACTGTTAGATTTCTACAAAAATATCAATTTTTCAAAAGCAGAAAAGAGGGAAAGATATATTTTAATATATAAAAGGAAAAAAGCTAAATCTGACATTTCATTATATTCTTAAAAACATTCCAGTCTATTTACAGATGCGTAAAAAACAAAGAAAATCTCCATGTCTCTTGGTCTAGTGAGAACGTGCGCCTTGCAGGGGTTTCCTTTGTTCTCTTGATTCAAAAATCTTTTCATTATGTGTCATATTCTTGCATTATTGCCTCAAAAGACAGCATATACAATTTTAAAAAGGTTTGTTCCAAACCAATGTGAGTTTGAGGGGAAGAGTGAAAAAAAAGTCAGCATTTAAATTCATAGCAAAATACTAATCTGCAGACATGAGACGGTGGAACAAGGAGAGCAAAAACTAAGAGCATTTCAAACCTGCTTTGTTGCCTGGTAGAACCCATCATAGATCCTTCTTGGAACTGCACCAACTACCACTTTTTTCAGCCAAATTTGGGGTCTGTTCTTAGTTAATTTAGTAATCACGTTCAGGAACCAAAAATTTTTCCTGTCATCTTTAAACAGCACATTTTTATTGCAGTGTAATTCCTTACTGCCCAGTGCCAAACAGTAAACATACCCAAGCATTTTCCATTACCTTGATAATGGACAAAACATCCTCAGAAGTACAGCGTTTATTTTAGGTTTTCATGTTGCGGCTTTCTGTCCCGCAGAAGTGTGCAAAGCACACGTACTTTTAAAAAAGTATTTACCTATAATTAGCACACAATTCTGTAATTAAAATTAGCCATTTGGAACCACAGAAGGATAGGCTGCAGAAAGAAAGGCCAGTGATTAGGAATTTGAAAGGAATCGCAGCGCAGTCCTGGTTGCTGTTTCACGCATAGGAGGAGTGAAATCTATTGGCAAAACAAACTGCCATAGGTTAAAAAAAAACAAGCAACTTCAGCCTATTAGAAATGCTCAGAACCAGATTCCCAGGTAAACAAATTTAAGTTTGATGTACTGCTACTAAGCTGATTTAGTTACTCCGGATTTAAAAATAAGGTTAAACAGGTTTAAAATAAGGTTAAAATTCTTCAGTAATAAGCAACGTATGTCTAAATACTTAATCATATTGTAAAGTCCCTTTTCTAAGGCGTTCAGTGACAACTGTAAGACCCTCCATGGCTCATGCTGACCTGTACTCTCTTTTCCAAATCACTAACCCAGGACTTGTATCAAATATTAAAATAGGAAATATGCAAAAGGCAATGAAGAGTTGGATGTAACTGCTTTAAAACACACCATTTAAAATGGCCAGGTGAAGAACCTTTTTTATGTAGGCTCTGGAGTAACTTTACACATACCAAGCTTGAAGGGCTTCTCTCCTCTGCAGCATTATTATATCATCAAAAAAAAAGACAAGGAAACACCCGAAGTACGTGTATCCCCGGGTGGATCTAACCTAGGCACAGATCCAGAAGATGCAGCTTACTGAACAGGGCATACGGTTGCACTGTGTACAAACATTGCTCCCTAACTGTGGAAGAACATCACTCTGAACACCTGCACCATCTTCAGTGCTGGAAAGATGAAATTCCTACATTACTGCACCGCCAAAGACGGGGAATTTCGGGGCAGGGGGGAATCCCAGCTGCTGTTGCTGGAACAGTAAGACAGGGGATTACATTCCTACACAAAGCAAAATGCACCACCAAATTCTGTGTAATTTTGATGGCAATGTTTTTTACCTTTTCGGAGCAGTTAAGAAGCCCCTCAAGCGCACCGTAACTCATATTTACAAACTTGATAGGAAAAGATTGTGTATACACTCATTAACAAATCATCTCTCCTAGGCTGAAAATTTCATTTGTCAAGAAAACTATGAAAACAAAAATTGTGTACAAAAATATAAATATCTTTACAGTCTGTAGGCCCTTCACATCCAACAGCTGAACAGCGAAGAGTATCTACAGGTTATTGAGTAAGCAGTGGCAGAGAAGAATAAAAAATACATCTTGTGATTCAATACTGCCCTATTTCCCTGGTAATGAGCATTTTTGTTGACTTTTTTTTTTTGCTCTACACAGCTTGTGCAAATGCAGTGAGGAACCTCTGAGTACCTTTCCTGAATTTATAAAGAAATTGAAGGTTTGGAAAGATATACACATATTTTCATATATACATTCACATATACACCTCGCTCATTTATGCTAGGCTACAACAGTCCTGAAAGCATTCTGTATTTTTATGAAGCAACACTTCCTATTAACATTCCTAGCCACCAAATACATCTTGAAGAATGACAGGAGAAAAGAAAACAAGAACTGGGAAAACACTCAAGCTACTTCAGCAACGTATTTAAAGACATAGCAACAGGGTGCCCAGATTTCCTTCTACTCTCTCTAATTTTTCCTTCCAGATGCCCTAAGCATCAAAGGAGGGAGTATTTGTACAGGTTTTTTAGGCAAAAGTGAGGTGTTTGGGTTTGTGTTTTTTTGTTTTTTTTTTTAGTAGTTTTATTAAAGTTAACATACTGTCATACTTCTAATCACACTGGGAAATATCATATTCTTCCCCATGTAGTGAGAGTTATAGATGTTTATTAAAATCTTTTGCGCGTAAGCTCCTAAAAAGTCTCCGACAGAGAACAATCTAGCACCAAAGAACAAAAACTTTTCACTTCAGCCCTCTGCAGTGTCTCAGATTTCCCTTCCGCTGCTCTAGGTAACAAGTTCAAGAGTAACCGCAATCTCATTTCTGCACATTCATCATATTCTGCAAACATCAAAAAAAGCAAATGTGAACAATCCCATTTCTGCATAGATAATTTGCCTGGTACAAAAACAAATAATCCAGATTTTTTTCCCCAACAAGACAGCTGCCTCCCTATGGGGGTGGGGGAAGGAAGAAATCTCTTTCAGTAGCCTAGGTTTCTCAGTCCTTTGACAAACTATTTCTGTGAAGGACTCCATTTTGGAAGGATACCATGTGCCCAGCAATGGTTATAGATCATCCTTCTTGTTTTGTGAAGGGGAAGGAGAACACCCAGAATACAGCTGTGAGGTAAAAATATGTCAGCATGCTTAAAGTTTCATAGCACTTATTTGTCAATTTGGGGCCTGCCCTCAGATGAAGAGAGTGCTGATGCCATACAGAAAACGAGCATTGCAGACAAGGGAGGTTGCCGAACTCCGACACTGGTTCACACTGCTCCCAATTTCCATTCCGGTCTCTGATAAAAAAATATATGCATTTATTTGCCTGCTGAATTTGAAGGCAAGGTCCCAGTAGTATTCAATTTCGTAACCACAGGTGCTAACGTGGGCATCACTTTGTTATCCTGTCCTTCTTGAACAGTTGCAGATAATGAAGTTTTTGCCCCACTGGGTGCCAGTTTTGCAACTACAGGTGCCAATAAGGGCATCACTTTGTTACTCTGCCCTTCTGAGTCCAGTGGCAGACTTGCCACTTTCAAGCCAAGTGGTGCCAGCTTGGGCATGGGCCTCCACAAAGTGTCGGCACTACTAGCTTCTGGACTAGTTTTCATCTGCAAAACCGGTGGGGTCACATTAGTGGTCTCTGACAAGGTTGTTACGGTTTTGCCATTCCCACCACTGGTTACGGACAGATTGGGAAGAGGATCCTTCATTTCAGCACCTATTACTATCTTTAAAATATCTGCTTCAGATGAAGGCTCCCCGGAGTTCTTGTCCCCGTCAGTAAGGTCATCATCTTCCAGGTGCAGCAGGAGAGGGCTTATAGAGCCACCACTCCCTGGAACTTCAGAAAGGTCTTTAAAACCACCTCCCAAATGGCCAAACTGGAAGGAAGACCCATCTGCAGCAGTGAGATCACTGGCTGTTCCCCGACGAGCTTCTGCATCTTCATGAGAGAACTCTGAGTTTAGAGTATTGGGCAGTTCTGACATAGCTGAAGCATCATCGTTCAACTGCTGATTGAGGAAGGCAATCTCATTGAGCAGTGAAGTGAGGGTTTCATCGGTGTCATCACTCTCCTCGATGCTGCTCAGCAACTCACTTGCATCCAGTTCTGCTTCCTCCATTGCAGATGCTACTTTCCTCAATTCCATTTCTATCCTGGAGTCTTTGATCTGCAGCTTGCGGAACGGCAATTCTTTAGATTTTAATCTTTCCCCTCCGGGATCCCCATCTTTCCTCCTGGCTTGGCTTCCAACAAACTCACCAATGCAAAGCTTTTTGCTGAAGGACTCTGGAGGTTCCTTTGTAGATGATACATTCCGGAGCTGTGGAAAGCCATCTTTATTTTCAGAGAAAACTTTTGTGGGACCTGTGGCATTTCTTCCATCTCCACCACCATCTCCAGGACATGGTTTGGCTTTTTCTTCTGAAAGGATGTTATCACTCTTCCTACTTTCAAGGGGTGTTACAACCAAGGATTTCTCAGAAGCCTGAGCACCTGCAGCTGTTGTTATATTAGAATTTTTGTTTTTGTTCAGGTTTAGACTCACGCTTCCCTCAGCAGCCAGTGATGTTACATTAACAATCTTTGGCATCATGAATGAATCTTCGCTTTCTGCAAAACCAAAAAAAGCAGCATCCATCAGGATCCATGCTAACTGCAAGGTAATTCCTAATTAAATATAACTTGCTTACTTTCAGGTCTTCCTCAAGGAAGCTGCTATTCACAATTTAAATCACTTACACAATTTTGTTCAACTGAAGCCTTAAAACACTAATAGTTTAACTTTCAACCTGTAGAAAAAGAGCAAGCTCCACATCTGTTATCCCAGAACCACTTGCCCAGTCCCTTCCTCCAGCAGGCTGGTACAATGCAAGTAACTGTAATGCTTACAATTCTGACAGTGATGCACAAGGAAAACAGAATGACAATTTTCCCCCTTACTGTTTTCTCATGCTTTACTTTTATGCTTATATTTTGCAATACTGGTTTTGTGTGCAATACCACAGAGGCATTTCAGGGACTACGTGACTACTGAAGTGAACTTTCCTTTTTCATTATGACCAAATGACTACAATGAACCCCACGATGTTCAACAAGGCCAAGTGCAGGGTCCTGAACCTCGGTCAGGGCAACCCCAGCATTAATACAGGCTGAGGAATGAAGGGATTGAGAGCAGCCCTGCCGAGAAGGACTTGGAGGTGCTAGTGGACAAAAAGCTGGACGTGAGCCAGCAACGTGCACTCGCAGCCCAGAAGGCCAACTGTATCCCACGCTGCATCCAAAGCAGCATGGCCAGCAGGTCGAGGGAGAGGATTCTGCCCCTCTACTCCGCTCTGGTGAGACCCCACCTGGAGTCCTGCGTCCAGCTCTGGAGCCCTCAGCACAGGAAAGACACGGACCTGTTGGAGCGGGTCCAGGAGGGCCACAAAAATGGCCAGCTCTCCTGTGAGGACAGGCTGAGAGTTGGAGTTGTTCAGCCTGGAGAAGAGAAGGCTCCGGGGAGACCTTCTTGCAGCCATCCAGTACTTAAAAGGGGCTTGTAAGAAAGATGGGGACAGATTTTTTAGCAGGGCCTGTTGCGACAAGACATGGGGTAATCGTTTTAAACTGAAGGAGGGTAGATTTAGGCTAGATCTAAGTAAGACTTTTTTCACATTGAGGGTGGTGAAGCACTGGCACAGGTTGCCCAGAGAGGTGGTAGATGCCCTATCCCTGGAAACATTCCAGGTCAGGTTGGACGGGGCTCTGAGCAACCTGGTCTAGTTGAAGATGTCCCTGCTCATTGCACGGGGGTTGGACTAGATGACCTGAAAAGGTCCCTTACAACCCAAACTAATCTATGATTCTATGAATGAAGCAGAAAGTGAGCGGCTTGCTTTTAACACAACAGACAGCCAGCAGCACACTATTGGCAGGAACCACCCCACGCCTAAACCCAATGTACAGTACTCAGTCTTGAAAATCATCTCTCCAATGGGCAAGCAGAGCTGGCAGGGTATTGGAAGGGGTTGTGCCAGCGCAGAAGTCTGGATATAACAGGCAAAGATTTTCAACAGCCTCCCCACCACTTTGTACTGCAGCTTCCACAGCAGGATGCATTACACCACAGACACATTCCAGTCCCCACTTACTCTCATTTTGCTGAGGGCAAGGAGGCTCAGTAAGGTGAAGGAAAGTTAAAAAGCTCTCATCTCTAATCCCCTAGAGGCCCCCCTAACCTGTTCAAAACATTTAACAGCTATTTTCTTTGAATACCCAAACAATAATACCTATCATTACTTCATAGTGAGAAAACAATTTAGCTTCATTTTTGCATGGGTAATGTTCCCTGCATGCAAGCAAAAAGATCCATAAAAAACAAAGAGCCTACCTGAATGGGGCTCTGTAGCCGATACTACTGTTGAGGGCACTGGGTTTCCAGCAACAGTTGACAGTGTAATGGGAATGGTAGAATTAGTAAGGATTCCTTTTACTTGGACAGGAACTGTTGATCCTGGCAGCTGAATCATCACAGAAGCAATACCTTATCCAAGAAAATGGGAAGGGGGAGTGAGGTGGAAACAAGAGCTTTTCAGATACTCAGTCAAGCCTGGAAAATAAGGGCCTTGCACTTCTAGGCAAGACTTTACACTGTAATACCATCTGAAAGTGGTAAAAAATAGAAATATGGATTGGTAGGTGATTAAGAAATCTTCCCTATGTTTCCCTAATTTGGGAATAATGAAAATTTAACAGATTTTACTCACCTGTTGATAAACTGATATTTTGAGTTATTTATATCAAATCTCTCTTATCAGAAGCAGGTTCTACCTCAGTCAGTAAAGTTGTAAAAAAAAAAACCAAACCCACAAAAAGCCAACAACAAAACCCCCCCAAATTAAAGCAAAAATTAAGTAACATGTTACTTTGTAAACAGCTATGCACTGCTATGAACAGCATTATACTGATTTTCATTAACATGTTCTCATGTGATCATACCTGGCTGTGCTGCCATGGTAGTACTGACAGCTCGAGGCTTTAACTCAGCTTGCAATAGCGTGGACGGAACAGCTGCCACCTGCCCTGGTACCAGTGGGCTCTTCAGTGTAAGCACCTGCCCCTGCGGAGTCATCACTAGGCTTGCAGCAGTTAGTGTAAGAGAGGATGAGGTGTCCCCTGTAAAAAAATATGTAAATCAGTAATTTATTCTGGCATAGCACTCTTGATGGCAAATGATATCCTGCAATCCAGTGTTAAGTACAATTGTGGAAGGAACTCCAGTTAGAAGGTTTACAAGTCCTAGATTAGAAAGCTGCTAGAGAAGCTACACAGGCTCCAGGAACCTCAACTACACAGCTAGAACCAGGCTGTGCTACCTTTTTGTGCAGTGTAACATAATCCTAATTCTCCAGAGTGGCATCCTGATCAAGCATCAGAGCAGTCTCGCTGAAATTATAAAGGGGACTTGTTCACTCCAGAGAAAGAAAGGAAGTTCTCTCACCAAATCCAAATTCTGATGCCAAACTTCCCCAGGACTGGACAAAAATGAGGCTTGGGAAACCAGAATGATTAGTTGTTTATGTAAGCCCAAGACCACTTCAGGTATGGTCTATTTGTTTTTACTAAAATAAGAAACATCACCAGATCCTTACAGAGTATTCTAGTGGTACCATCATGAAAGTTTGGATTTCTGCCATTCTTTTGTTCCTCACTACATTTATGGTGTGAACATCTTGATAAATGCCAACTACTTCTCCACAAGTTCTCAGCTCCAAAAAAATTGTCAAGTGTCTAACAATTCTGCCATTTAATTTAAGAGCAAGTCTTCTACAACCTTGAGAGCTAGCTTGTTTGGAGCTGGATGTTTTAAAAACTGAATCTATTCTAGCAGCTCCAGTATTCTGGGGGTTAATGGAAAACAACCACTTTGACTCTCAGAAATTACTGCAGTGAAACTCCGTAAGACCAAAGGGCAACTTAATAAGCATTTACTTCCCATCATTCTGAAACTCGTAAGTCATGCTCATCTGAAGACCTCAGTACTGCTGATCTCATCCTTACTGAAAACAAATTGTTTCCACACCTACTGGATGAACACTTCCTGGTCCTGTACCCAATTATCCTTCAAGAAAGAAGTTTTCTGTATAAGCAGGTTAGAATTCTCCCATCCCATGGGGTGCTGCTTCAGTGTCTGCCTCCCCTTTATGCAAAAGGTGTGTCGCTTTTAGCCCACCTGTGGCACGGCCTCCTTTTCTGGTGAGTATCAATGGCTTGCCTCTTCTATTTGTCATAGTCATTTGGGTCAGCTCTCTGGAGGGAGCAGAAGATCCTTCTTGCTGTGTGCTAGCAGTTGAGGTTACAACAGATTCCTCTGGCTCAGCTTGTTTCTTCTTTTTTTGTGCTTCTACTGCTTTTTGTTTGGCATAAATATATTCGAGCTTCTTCAGGACAACCTCTTCTGTCTTCCCTACAGAAAAATTACCAGAGGGTCAACCCATCTTCAAACTCTTTCCAAAACTAAAAAGATGAAGACAGAGCTAAAAGTCCATTAAGTTGACAGCATTCAACTACCATACAACAGACAACCACCAACCCCACAAAGTAAATAGCAAATTTAGTAACAGAGGGGAGTAATTACCTATTTATTCCAAGATTTTTTTTTCCCTTCAGAAACATCCATACATTTCAGAATTTATCAACTGCAGCTTTGATGAGCAGAAATCAGCCTGGACAAGCACTAGCTCTTGCTGAACAAGTACCATTTGAAAATATCCACAGCTGTGAAAGAAACCCACGTATCTCCTAATGATGAATGTATGACTACCAGACAAAATGTTACCTTTACCTGGTATGAAACTTCTTGGACTAACAGACCCTGTTACTCAAACGACATTTAGAAGTAAATTCACATACAGTTTGCCATTGACATGCAAGTTGTAACCTTGAACAAACACGAAGTTTTTATAACTAATTTGTTTTCTGCAGATGCACACGATTTAATATGATCAAAGTTGAAATAACTATGCTGGCTTGTTTCCTGCTTAGTATTTATGGTCTAACATCACTGTCTATCTTTAATTAAGTCTCTATTTAACTATCCTGAGATGATGTTTTTCCTCATCAGTTTTGAGGTACTTCACCAGGAATGCAAAAGATCAGAAAACTACTTTATGAAGTTATTTGCTTTCATTCCCTGCCCAAAAGGCCTATCACACATTTCTGAATTAAGATGAGGGTTAACTAAAACACTTTTTAGTATTTATTTGTTTTAACCAAGTACCTCAAATATACATGAATTGATTCACATAAATACACAATACTTAAGTATCTTTCATTTCTACTTTACAGGTAGTCTCCTGTTTTTATTCCCAGACAGTAAGAATATTGCAAGAATAATTTAAGGTTTTATTTGCTCACACACATTTTGGTACTGGCTGGACATGTGTCACAGCTTTCCTACACATCCAGATGAGACAGAAAGACACAATAAATGCAACATGGTTTTGTCTTGAAATGCCTAGATGAGTAGCAGCTCAGAATATAATGCGATTTTGTTCTACAGCCAGAGCTGCCGCCTTCTAGACACTACTTGCACAAGTTCTCAGAAAAGCAATACAAGGATAGTTATTTGCAAAGTTGACCAAAAGAGTCTGAGGTTTTGGTCAAAGACAGCTATGCATACTTGTGAAACACTGAGCAGAAAAGCCGTTTCAGGAAGTGACCAATAACAGAATGAAGTGACTTTCCCCCTGACACACACACGCTGAAGCATACTCAATGCACAGGAACCCAAGCCTGTGGCTTACAGCAGAGAGATCATTGTAGACTTCCTTTAGGCATATAAAGGAAAATAAAAGCAGTTCTTATCAGCATGATGAGTGTATCACTGAGTCAGAGCTTAGCAGGTCTTCGTTTGGCATCAAGAGTCTAAATTTTATGTGAACTAATGACTCACCTGGATCCACAGAGGATTACTCGACTCACTTCCAACTCTTAAAAGCCTTTTCTTTCATTATTCTAGCTAGTCTGTATCCAAAAACAGTCTCACCTGAAAGCGTAGATACTTTTCTAATCAAAACATCCTGTTTGCGTGTCAGTAAGTTCTTCTGTCCAATAAGTTTATCTGCCTGATCAGTCAATCCTTGGATTTCTTCATAGGCCTAGAAAAGTGTCAGGGAACTGATTTATAAACCAATGATACACAGTAAAATAATTTTCCTTCCCAGAAACTTTTATAAAATTTATTTGAACGCTTTCATCATCTTGAGAAACTAGGACTCAGAAAAAGCATGTGCAGTACCATGTAATGTCAGCTTTCCCTAAATGCAAGCTGCAAAGTGATAAACATCTATCTTGTTCATTTTTCCTCCAAAGTTCACCTATTTTAAAGGAAAAACCAAACTTTTATCGCACAATTTCAAGGTATAGCTGATAAGCATAATTACGTATCTACAACTTATGCTTTGTTTCCTGTCATTTACATCTTTGCAATTAAGTTTTTAATGTCATTGTAATACTTAATGAAATGCTATCTTTTCCTGCATTAAAAAAGTAAGTTTTCAATGTATTTCAAAATTGGCTGATGTATACCACTAAGGAATAAGACATAACCTTTGATACTTTAATTAACAAAGAACACAGCAACGAGAGAGGTGATCTGAAAACATGCATCTGTGTCATCAAGATTAAGTTTTTAGGAATACAGATTCTTTCAGATAGTTTTATTCTAAGGAGTCCCGTAAAGGTGACACAAGCTCTCTATCCACAATATCACTGGGACTTCGAACAGTTCATACTAGCTTAATTACTCTGTCCAGATTAAATGATTCTCCTCCTCACTTAGGCTTCAAAATACTTACTTGCTTGAGAATGTAGCATTTGGAGACCTTGGGAACGTTGTGTAACCCCAGAGTTCTCTTCAGCTTTTCAAAGAGATCTCTCATTTCATTACGTCGCCGGCGTTCATTTGCTGTATGTGTCTGGCGGTAATGAGCAAAGGCTTCTGCCTCAGTCTTCAGCTTTCTGTTCCAGAATTGAGGTTTCTGCTGGAGAAGTAACCATATTGACCAGTTTAAATAAAAAAGGTAATGTAATGGCAAATAATGTTCAAAGGCATGCCTGATTTACAAGGTTTCTACAGACACCTGAAGATTTCAGGTCATGCTAGTCTCTTATTATGTCTTCATGAAAGTTCAGTGTCAGAAGCACACGCAATAAGCATGAAATGCTGACCAATAATCATATCAACCCTAAAGGAAAAGATCATGAGCAGTCCCTTCTATTCATAAGCTTTTATTTTTTGCAATACAAGGCTACTTAGGTAAACCACAGGATTACAGCAAAATCACGCATGTTTGAGCCTAATTTTTTTTTGTTGTTTGCTTGTCAAAAAAGTCTACTAATGAATGAAACAACCGCATCACATATATCAAATTGAATTTTTCCTTGGAGTTAAACCAGTTTGATTTCTATTTTGTTTCATGTGTACATATGGGTTGGGGCCAAGAGAAAGAGACATTGTAGGTGAAAATGCGAAAGACAGCATTGAAACTTATCACCCCAGACATCTACCAAGAAACAGAAAGTGTCAAAGACAGGCTCTGATTTTGAATTTGCTTAAGTTTCCAAAAAGATTGACGGGCAATAGGCGTAATTACTAACCTCTACAGATTTGAAGGTTTGTTATTTCATCATTACTCTTACAGGTTTTGCACAATTATGTTATTTATTTCATGATGAGGTAATACTTAATAAGTAGCATTAACGTGTTTTTTACATCATTTTAGGTCTGCTCCAAACCCCAGTGAATCAGTGGAAAGACTCCTCAAGTCCAGTGATACTATTTCTGAGCCTGCTGGCCTTAGGAGGAATCTGAAGACTGTCTCCTGAAACCTGGCTCTTGACATCCATTTTACACTGGACTGAGCAGACTAAGGCTGCAACTTGCGTTGGGCAGTAGGTTCCTTTCAAGGAAGGGCCTCATGCTGTAACTTCATGGGCAGAGAGAAGAATACATGGAGAAGGCGAGGCAGGCAGAGCATCCTGCAACCCATCTCCATCTCAGGCAAAAGCATACATACCAGTCTGCTCTAATGTATAAGACATACACCTGGCTCCCACCCCACCTCAAAGTCCCACCCCACCCCAGCAGGTAGCTGCAGATCTGACATCAAGTACATCACAAGATAGTTGTCATGGACAGTTAACAGAACTGGCTTGAAAGCCACCCTAAAGTACAGCATAAACTTCAGAAGGATTGCAATGAGTTTTGGTTTGTAAGGACTCTGCATTATCTTTAACTTGCCTAAGCACATGTTATTTGAACTACTGTTCTCAGAAATCCTTCATGCAGTGCTGTGCCTATATAATCCTACATACTGTCTTCTTCGACACATGAAAACATTTCTCAGTTGTTACATTATGGGTGCTGTAAAAATGATTTATGCCAAGAACACAAAATCTAAGCAAACTTACTAATAAAAGGCAGATATTCCTCCCGTACATAAAGCTGAACCTGAAACCCACGGATGCCAGTAGCAGTCCTTTTTATTTAATGAGATTTGGACTGAGCCCCTTCCCCCCATATTCACATTTGGCTTCTCGCATTTAATCATAAATATATGGAAGGTAGATAAATTGCATTAAGAGTTGTACTTGAGATGAAAGTTTATCTTTAAAATGGAGGTGTGATACCAAAAGGAAAGAGGAGAGCGAACATATACCTTCGTAGGTTTTTCTGATAATTTTTCATCCGAAGATTTACGAGCATGGTATCTGGAAGAAAGGTAAAAAGTTTTTCCCAACGCTACTCATCTCATGCACTCTATCCTCATTAACTACATTCCAACAGCCTAAAATTGCTCATTTTTATCCCTTGAAATTAACTCTTCCTTGTATAACTACATGAAAGCTGGCTACTGTTGAGCTTTCTCAGGAAAGTGAACTCTTATCTCCAATGCCATCATCCTGGAAAAAATTCAGCTGTTCTGAAAACTGTAAAATTATCCCATAGTACGAGACAAACTATTTCACTATGTGCCAAAGAGAAAAAATTCAGCCTGGGACTGTTAGCTGCAGGAACTTTTTTTTTATTACCTTTTGGTTGTTTTTAAAAAAACACAGATTCAATACAGATGGCAGAGCAATCCCTCCCACACCAAGAATAACCAACCAAAATCCTCGCATTTATTACTATCCAAATATATAATAACAGCTTCCTCATATCTCAAGAGCTTCAAGAAAACAAAGAACCATACACATTTGAAAGAATTATTTTTTTACAAAACATGACATCTTTTTCTCTCTCACTGAAAGATTTTCACAATTTATAGCAAAGTCAACACCTAAGGATAAAAGTTGAGCTTGTATCTTTTAAGATAAAAAACAGGAACTATCTGGGAGGTATATAATATCACCAATCAGATTTTTCAAAGTTTCTACAAAAAATTCTTCAAACAAAAAGAACTAAGGATGCAACATTCCCCATTCTCTTGTTTGATGCAACTGAGAAATAGCCATGAGCAGCTTTAGATACCTCAAGCCATGTCTTTTTGTCATTATAAATGCAAAAGCAGCAACAATAACAAAAACAAACAAGCAAACAAAAACAAAACAAAAACAACAACAAAAAAGCCAAGCTATCCAACCATGGCAGACTATATGTAAATAAGAAAACACTTTCTTTGCTGGGGCAATGGTCCCAAAGACAAAGCTTTCATTTACAGAACCAGGGATTAAGCCAATGACTGCTCCTGCCTAAAAATAACAAGTCCACCAGCAAGAATAAACATAGCTTGCAAAATCACATTTAAAACCAAGACGACCCTGCTCGTATTCAGACTGCAGGAAGGGAGGCGATTAACTCATAATAATTTTACATTACAAGATACACATCGCCATGAACAAATTAATTAAAAGGGGGGAAAAAAAAAGGCTAAGACACTCGAATCTACTCTTAGCTCTGACAGCCCCGTCCTCACAGACACTGGGAAGCACCAGTGCTCAGGAAGACCTGACACAAGCCTTACTTTACCTTACGATCACATTAAACCTTCTGTTTAATGGGTTCATTCAACTCCAGCTCATCAATAAAATGCAAAACTGTAGTGCTCTCCAAGGATGCTTACTTCTGTTTGGAAGGTCGGATATTAGCAGCTGTGGCCTTCAGACGGGCAATGTTAATCTTCTCTGAAAGCTCCTCCACGGTCTCAATGTCCACCTGCTCGTCATCCTCACTGTATTCACACGCATCCTGGAACAGTTTTTGTTTTGTTTTTTAAAATGAGTATCTACTTAGCAATAGAGCTCAGGCCAAACAGTTTCACTTCAGTCTCAAAAGATATTACATTATAACATTACGAACCATTAAAGAATCAACATCTCCAGCTACACTGGCCAATAAACAGTACTAAGCAGGTGGTTATTTTAACTGTCACCTCAAGGAATTCCTCCCACTAGCAACTCTGCAAAATGAACTGTGGTAAGGGCAAAACCCATCTTTGTCATTTATGCTTTTACTACGGGCAAGATAAAAAGCTTTTCACAAGGCAGAGCTTTCCTGCCTCCATTTTCAAGTAAGATTAAACTGCCTTTACAACCTATTACTGTAGACTCTTGCTAACTAACATGTTTTTGACAAGAGTCAAGATAGTTATCACCTTGGTAATGGTCTGTCATACCTAAGATAGCAACAGTCAGAACATCATACAGCAGGCTTCTTTGGGTCATACAGTAAACTGCTTACATGATGAAGGGTATGATTTTGGCTCTTTCCAAAACGCTGCCCAATAATTATTTTAAATATTTATGATATTCTGAAGAGTACTTTTTCTCCATGCTTGCCTGACCAAGAAAACTTGCTACCATCTGTGAAGACAGAGATAGAGAACAACTGCAGTGCTGTGGCAACTACAGGAGTTAATGTCAATCTCATTACAATCTTGTGGCCATTTGTAGTATCAGGTGATTCTCCCCCTCCCCCCAAACAGAACAAATCTTATTCAAGCAATTTTTTTTATCTCAGTTTTTATTGAAGTTTTTTTATATTATAATCTTTGGTCTGCTTACAGAATGCAGAACTCTTTCTCCTCCTTAAGCAAGAAAATGTAATTATACTTCCATTCTGTACTCTTATTTCAACCAGTTCCCTGAACTAACCCAATCTCGTCCTCCTCCTATTCTTCTCTTCTGTCTTTCCTTCCTTCTCTTTGTCCTTCTTTTCTTTCTTTTTGAGGAGCTGCAATCTCCTTCTTCTCTGAACTGAATACCTACCTGAAATTGATGCAAACAGTTAATCACAAAAAACACTAAGTGCAGAACAGGAAAAAAAAAACACCAATGTGCAATACTGGATCAGTAAGTGTCCTCTAATAAATGCTTTTCATGGTACTGATTATATGAAGTTATCTGCCACTCACACTGTTTTAAGGAACTGATTAGAAAAGAGAAAGCGTTGCACTTCCTCAGATGACCACAGATTAGGCTATACACAGCACTATAACAAAAACAAACAACAGCAGCCTAAATTACCACACAAGTATAACTAACAAGTGCTTAAGGATGCACATTTCCAATCATCAGTCATGAAATTTACACCTGTGAAATCTGCAGCTGTGTTAGTTTAAAAGGGGCTCAATTTATAACCAGATGGTAAATCTTAGCTGACAATATCCTTTTTGACAGGGAAGCAAGATCTCTAATAACCTAATGTTCGGTATAGTATTTGGCTTCTTCATACTGACTAAACACAACCTTTTCTAAACCAAAAAAAGACGACAAACACAAGCCTGAAACCAGCAACTTGTGGCAAGGCTACTGTCCTGGATTCAGCTGGGATAGAGTTAATTTTCTTCCTAGTGGCTGGTATAGCGCTGTGTTTTGGTTTTACGATGAGGTTAATGTTGATAACACACTGATGTTTTACTTAGTGTAAACGCTGCTCAGCAACAAGTCAAGGACTTTTCAGCTTCTCATACTGCCCTGACAGCAAGGAGGCTGGGGGGGCACAAGCAGCTGGGACAGCTGACCCCAACTGGCCAAAGGGGTATTCCATACCACATGACATAATGCTCAATATATAAACTAGGGGGAAAGCTGGCCAAGGGCTGCTGCTCAGGAACTGGCTGGGCATCAGTTGGCAGGTGGTGAGCAGCTGCATTGTACATCACTTATTTTGTCTATTCTTTTATCATTATTATTACTTTCCCTTCTCTTTCTGTCCTATTAAACTGTCTTTATCTCAACCCACAGATTCACCCACCCACTCCCCTCCGATTCTCTCCCCCATCCCACTGCAGGGAGGGAGTAAATGGCTGTGTGGTGTTTAGCTGCCTGCCAGGTTGAACCACAACAGCTCTCTCAAATTCAAACAACAACGTAAAAATTGCCACCTTAGTTACTGACACTACACATTGACCACCATTGTGAATCATGCTGCCAGAGAAAATGATCAATATTTTTTAAACCCTGTGTAATACATCATCTCCCACGGCTGTGTGATCAAGGCTACAGAAAACTGAAAGTCAGTGTGAAAATACAGAATCAGTGTGAAAAATTAAGCAAGCTTGCCCTCCCTTACTAAAGGTTACACTGAGCATATAACCTTTGTGAAGTACAGTAGTGTAGACTCTGTAGTGATGTAGCCTTTAGTAAAGTATATAGTGAGTGTATGTGCACATATACATATATGAAAAACAGCATACATATATATGAAAAAGTGTGTGTATATAGTAGATATATTTTAGTGTCTAAATACATACACACACATATGCAATACTGCCTGTAGAATCTTCCAGCTTTTTAAGAATGAAACCGTGCAGCATCCTCCCCTTGTAAAACCACTCTCACATACTCCCAAGTCTTCCATCACCTTCCATTCACAGCATGAGGGGTCCTACAAGGTGTTGGTAGTATACATTCTGTGTAGGAAGAGGTATACGCTTCCAAACTACTCACTTTCAGAGAAGCTGACGCCCCTCTTCCTGTACTATGAAGTATCGAGATACTACTACTGAAACAAAGAAAAGTGAAGCTCGGGCTATCAGCTATAGCTGATAGATCTGAACAGAAAAGTATCCGTACTTCTGCAAGTTGCTATGCACACTCCCATGTTACCTACTATCTCTATGCTTGTAAAAAGTCATGTCTTTTGAAAAACAAAAGAGAAGAGCAAGGAGAATGACCTCAGATGAGAAATTACTAGCCTTAGAGAACAATCTCACTCTTTCTTTAAAGATATTTTTAACATGTGCTGACTTTAAAGACACCATTCTTCTCTGCCCAGGAAAGCAGCTCTCATCTCTGGTCAGTTCTGTATTTGGAAAGGACATACATAAATTATTCTACTATTCACTTCTGGAGTTTCTTGCAGCTTTCCTTCAGAGCAGCTATGAATTTGTGTTATGCCATGACAGTTCTTGTTATGAGTATGAAGAGCAGCATGGAGGTAAAACAAATTCGCATCCAACTTTGAAAGTATGGTACTGGTACTGGCAGGAACTTGAGGAAATACTGTTTCTCTCTGTGCGTAAAAGCCCGTAAAATCCTTATTTGTTCCATCTTGTAAATATTCTCCCGCAAAGCAAGACTTGTTAGCACTGGGACCAGGTAGAGCACAGAGAAAATGGACTGTCTTTACCAAGGAAGCAGTGCATCACTCTGAACTTGACAGGCTGATTAGGAGCTACATGTCACCGCTGCTCCCCAAGACAGCAGGAGGCACCACATCCCTGGGACCTTGGTGAGGTCCAACAAAATACTGCCTGCAGTCTAGATCCAGAACACGTATGCAGGGGCTACCAAAACTGTGACCAACTTAAGACTACATTGCACTTCAGTATAGGTATTTCAACAGCTTTCAAACACTGCTTGTGAACAGTATGCAGCTTTGTTTCCTGTCAAGTGGCTCTGTATCCTTACAGAAACTTAAGAAATCTTGAGTTCTACTATATAAAATCACACTTGAAGAATAGCACTTATGCAAACAACCAGCATTTACTCAACAACTCCTCCTCACACTTGCTTTACTTGTTACAGACTTGGTCAAGATCCAGTTTTAATGAGGAGCAACTTTTTGGATACATCTTTTTTATCAAGTCATTTTGTTCTTGAGACAGATGCACCCAAGCTGTCTTTAAAAGTCAATTCTGTAGCTTCCCCATTGAAAAGCAGAGACTAACCCATTTGCACAAGGTCACAGAAAGGCAGGAAAATCAAAAGCACAACTGAAGATTTCCAAATTCTCTAGAAGTCCTTAATTGCTATGCCAGGGTTCACAGAGTGAACTAGAGGATGTGCTAGAGGACCCAGAGTGCTGAAATTCCAAGAATTCCTCACCTGTGAAAAACATAAGCTTGAATCTGAAACTAAAACGTCTACTAACTGGTAAGAGTGGAGGGATGGCAAAGAAAAAGAAAAGAAGTTGGAAGATATCAAAATTACACCATCTCCCCAGATGCAGACCTTCTGTTGAGCTACAACAGGTGATGTAAACATGCAGCATAGCTGCTTCCACAGCTTTTTTTTTAATCTTCCCCAGGGCCTGATGAGAGAAGGAAAAGCATCACAAAGCCAGCGGAAAAAACAACCTGTCTGAACAAAAATTATTCAAACAAAGATACTATTTAAATTACAGAACTACTGAATAGATACATACCATTATGTTGAAAATATTACATGTGCAAGAGGTACAGGGTTACGCAATTTTAACAGGTCACATTTCATGACAGCACAGTTGTATTTCATTACACATAGAGCACTTCTCATCCTTGCCTGCTCTCCTGAGTCATCCATAAAACCTCCTTGATGCTGGAAGCCTCCTGATATTTTCTCTAGCTCTTCCATTTCATACAGTATTGTTGCTATGATTCTACATGCAAGAGATACATACTGTTTTTCTTCAGTGGGAAGGACTACTCTAGTCCTTTCTGTGATTCTGTGAGTCTAAACTACTTTTGGACATCATTACACTGCAGGGAAGGGGCACATGCAGGGTAGTTCAAAAGATGCTGTAATCCATACAGTGAGGAGAAAAACACCACAGGAAATTAGCTTACTGTAGAAACACTATCATGGTAAAGCTTTTGAGTGCTGACAAGTTATACCGGGCTAACCAAAGGGTTGATAGTAATTACCCAGCTAGAGCTGTTCTCATGGTGGAACCTCCTACATGCTATCGTACTCGAAAAATGGTATTCAAATCCCAAGATGTGGCATCTTTTTCATGCAAGACAGCGAACAAACCAGAAGTAAAAACTCTCCACCGCCCACCAAAAACTTCACATCTTTAATTTTACAAATCCTGATTGTGGACATATATAAAATAAAAACCATTACTTTTTTCATTCTTGCATCTAACAACAAAGGGAAAATGCTTCAGATGGTAAATCTTTCTTCTCTACCTCTGACTTCCTAATGGGAAAAACATCACAATTGTGAAGATGATCAGAAGTAAATTCCACTGAGGTTCTGCCATAAGAACAGCTATTCCTATGTAAGTACTGCCAACCCATCATAGGCTGAACCCTATTTATAACACAGCATAACTTCTTGTCAGGGTGCAAAACTTTTAAAATGCTTGTGGAAGCCCTACCTTTCTAGCATCAGTCTTTCCACAGGTCCTGTAGTTACGAAACTTCTAACTGCCTTTGAGCTTGTAAGAGTAAAATACCTTAAGGAATGGAGACACAAAAGGAGCAATCCCACGCTACAACAGAAGTTCTGAAGTTGCTACAGAAATTCAGCATTTTCCCTCTCTGCATCGCAATGCCAGTTTCTAAGCACCCTCTTCTATCTGTCTGTTCCTGGCAGCCCATACCCCTATTGCTGGTTCCCGAAGAGCAAACTGCCTGACAGCAGAGCGTCCTCAGTGAAAGTGCTGACAAAGAAGAAGGGTAGATAGCAACGGATGCTGTTAGATATTACCCAAGCAAATGCCTCATTCTGGATCTGCCTTCTATGCTACAAAGTCTGCAGATTTCACACATGGTCCATACCAACAGCTCAGAACATATGAGCAATTGTTAGAACTTAATTCATCCACAAAACATGTCACTTCCACATTTTATTAAGCTTACAATATTGTAATAATTCACAATAGTTCCTTATCACTTTAATGTTCAGCTCAGAAAAAGAACAATTGAAAAACATGCATTAACAACATTTAAAGTAACTTGCCAGACACAGAAGCTATGTTTAGACTATAAGTTAAACAGGACCATGGGACTCTATCTGTAGCATTAAAATACTAGAACAATCCCTAGCATGCTTTTAGCTTAAGCCAACAAGCACTCATGCGAACAATTCACAGACACAGTCTGTGACTTAGCCCAGGGCCAAGAAGTCATCCTCAAGAGGAATTTTGTGTGCAATCATCATGCCTTGGAGATCAAGAGTTTAACACAATGTCCCAGACCACTGCACTTGAATTTATGCAGAGAACAGGTCCTGATATTGATTAGTTTGCTTATATATTCTCAGAAGGTTTTATTCATATCACCAAACCCAAGACGGTCAACCCTCCTAAGTTTCTGTTGATGCAATTCAGGGTAGGAAATGCAAAAGGGGCAAAGACACCATCTCAGGAAGCTTCCCTCTTTTTGTAGAGTAGAGGAGGGGTCTACAAGAGTCTCTCAAGTACGCAAAGTTAGCACAAGATAAGAAGGTAATGTGAGGAGCATCGATATGCAAAATTAAGAACAATGAAGTCATTACTGCAATGAGAACCAGTGTGGGGAAATGTACTAAAAGAGAAACAGTAATAGCTACTACAGGTAAGTAGCAATCATTCTGACTCTCACTGGAGTTTTCTGGGGTTTTTAATGGCTATTTCCTGAGTAACTAAACCCAGTCCATATTCCAAATTAGTAGCGAAAGAGCTGTCATTAGTATTTCCACTAAACAAAAGTATTAGTGGACATGCATGTACACTTTGCTTCCGTGTTTCCACTAGCTCAATGAAACAGATAAACATCATCTAGCAGTCTGTTTATATGATCTGATTTCATCCAGACTGACAAACAGTACCAGTGCAGCCTGTCTTGGAAGCACTGCACAGATAAAAGAGTACATCCTAGTGAAAAACAACAGAGACTTAAATATTTAGATTTAAAACTGAATTCTCCATTAGGCATTGACATGCTAACTTAACCTGCAGGCAGCACAGACTAACAAACCAAGAGCTCACCCAAATTTCAGACCTCTGAGACCTCATTCCTCAGATTTACTGCTCTAGAACCAAAGCTAGCTTACTCAAGTTCATGTGAGCTTATGGTGAAGGCATACCCTTGTATGGCTTACCAAACCGTATGAGTCAAAACCTGCATAGTAAGTTTCTTCCAAAACAAACATTTCTTATAATCTCTGATAATTTTTTTTTTGGTTTCATCATCCTTTTGCAGGACAAAAAAAAACCCACACAAACCAACCACATGTTTAAAACATCAATTCTGATAACAGGTTACTCTGTGACTTAAGACATCTGTTGGCTTACCAACAAATTCCCAAGACTAGCTTGTCTGGAAAGTTTATTGGGCATCAGGCACAAATTAACCATGGTTCTCAAAGTTTGATGATAAGTCTGCTGAAGTTAGTGAATGATACAGGAGTTATCAAACTGTCACTGTCCTACTCAAGAGAAGACAGCAACAGCTCAGTTTTCAGCTTGAAAGAACTTCCAAAAATCACATCTGCTTTCAGTTTCCTCACCTTCATGCAGCTGAGATGCTATCATCTTGCCTAAGAATAGCAAGCTGGAATATGAAGTGATTAGTCAATTTTTCTGGAAGTTAAATAGATTCTCTAAAAGCTAGAGTTGCTGACTTAGCAGTTAAGTTACTCTGGAGACAGAAGAAAAAGAAGTCTAATTTGGTTTTCAACTGTAAGAGGACTACATTAACACAAAAGGGCTAAAAGAACTATATGCTTTCAAATTCCTGAAGACACTAACGTGATTTCTCCTACTGTTAATTTGTTCTTCAATTCTTCTCCGCTTTAACCTTTCCCTTTCCACTTTTATCTCATCGCAAGAAACGGCTATCTTATTTCTTATGTCCATTGGACTGACTCGCAAAACCCCAACTTAAAATTTAAGTAACAATGCACTGTTTAAGTCACATACTGATATATAGAAAATACACCAAGGAGTTACCTGTGGAATTTTTTTTTGTGTGTGTGAAATTTGATGGAAATTCTATGAGCATTAAAATCTAAATATATCTTAACTATACTAACCACAGTGTTTTACCCTTTTTCTGTGACTTCTGGAGCAATCTGTTTTCTGTCAAATATGGAATGACAGTCTTCACACACTACTTAAATTTATTACTAAATTTCAAGAGAGATTTTTTTAGGAGATTTAAGGAGTGATTCAAACATCCCTTCCAGAAATAAATGTTGAACTAAGGGCTATAAAAATTAAGTAGAAGGAAACAGTTTAAAATGACAGAAATACTAGACTGGCTACTACATTTTAGGATCCTAAGTCATATTACAAGGAACCAAGTTGCTCGAGTAAATACCGGAGGAAGACAACATGTGACGGTTCTGTTACAGCTTGCTCATTATACTCCTGTTACCTGAAAAATGGACAATTTCTAAAAGGCCACTACAATGCTACCTATAAAAAAAAGCATGCAACTACGAAGAAATAAGAGACATTTCCACTGGGAACCTCGATCTAGATTTAAGGAAACTAAAATCCAGAACACAAACATCATACTACCTTTCAAATCCATAGGTTGCAACAGGTTAGTTGGGTCAATTTAAAAAAAAAAAAAACAAAACAAAAACCACAAACCACACCAACCAAAAAAAAAAGCCACCTTCATAAATAGTTAAATGCTTACCACTTTTTCAATATCTACTTCATCTTCACTTGGGAAGTCAGAAGCACCATCCAGCATCTCATCAGCAGAATCATCAGTTTTTTCATCCTCTTCATCCTCCTCATCATCTTCCTCTTCTTCCTCTTCCATATCATCAGCAGTTATATCAATAGTGGGCATGTAACCCTTTTTGTGATGCCTGGGTTCCTGTGCCCTCTGTTCTGGTGTCAGGAAGTCCCTTTTCTCAGATGTATCAGCTTTGTTATCCGCCTCGCTTTTATTTTCTAAAGTGGGTACAATGCTAGATATTTTGCTCCAAGAACTGTTGACATGTGTTACAATCTCATGACCTGTTTTCATTTCTTCCTGAGAATCAAAAGCATCTTGTTCTTTGTTGTTATTGCATTCCTGCCTAGCTACGCTTGCTTTGCCTTCCTTGGTATTGACTGTATGCTTTTCACCTGAAGCATTATCCTGCTCTCTTGCAGAACTGATTTCAGACTTAATTCCTTTTTTCTCTCTTATGCTTTCTGCTTCTGTAGAGCCCTTGTACTCCTTCCTTTCCATATCTGGCTGCATGGCATCACCCTGGCATTCTTGTTTGCTCTGAGACAGTTCAGTCCCTCTCTGTTCATTCTTGTTCTCCAGCTGTGTATCTTGCTCTTGTTGACTCTGTGATGACCCAGAACCTGCCTTGTTGTCCTCCTTCATCTGTGTCTGCACATCTCCTTCCTGCTCTTTTACTGGTTTCTCTTCCTGTTCAGCATGTATTTGCTCCTTCCCGCAGTTCTTCAACTGTGCAGTCTCCTGATTCTCAAGACTCTGAGGATGTGCATTATCCACAGGAACAACTAGAGACTGATCTGACAACCCACAAACAGTTTTGGAGTTGGCTGAAACAGCCTCCACTACAGTTTCAGAAATGACGAAGTCCTCTTTCTCCTCAGAGGCCCCTTTTTCTTCCTCATCATTTGGCTTCTCACTGATGTACGAATGATCAGATGATATGATATCTGTAGAAACATCATGCTGAGAAGAAGAGCTATCATCACAAGAACTCTCTAGCACCTTTGAGTCCTTCTCCACCATCTCTAATGGAGTGGAATTTCTATCAGGAGTGATTGTGTCAGCTGCTAACTCTTCAACATTATTTGACTGGTTAACTGACAATTCATTTTCTTCTTGTTTCTTATCTAATAGTGCAACCTCAGACTCTATAACTTCAACATCATCTGAGCGTGAAGCCTTCCCACTCTCCTTCTGCTGAGCAGCACCCGAGTCCTCCTTCTTACATATTTTCCTGTAATCCTTCTTCATCTGAAGAGATGCAAAATGGTGAAGAATGGAGTTTGGCACAGTCTTCTGTCCTGGGAGCTGAAGTAAAGCAAAACTACCGGATTGTAAAGGTATGAGATTAGCAGTGGTAGCTGGCAGACCACCTGAGCTGCAGGTAATTTTAGACTCAGAGGTTGCTTGATTCGTCACGCTGCTAGCAGCGGGAGGAGAGATCCTCAGAGTCAGAGTGCCTGCCTGTGACACAAAACTTGTTACTGAAGGAAGAAGAGAAGATGCTTGAGTGGCTAGGTTAGACGTGGGGGATAATTTGGGTACTGCAGTTTGTACAGCTGAATTTGCAGCAGGAGATGCGGAAGACACAGAGGAAGTAGGAGACACAGGTGACTCAGAAGGCTTAGAAGGTGCAGGTAACCGGATTCCTACAACAGATCCTGTGAGGAAAACAAAACGTCAACTAATACTTCCTCAAAGAAAAAAAAATTTTTTTTAAGTTTTAGTATTTGATGCTGTAGTAGCCAGCATTCTCAAGGATCACGATGTAATCAGGTATTTGACCAAAAGTTCTCAGTGAAAAGAGCTGGTACTGCATAAAGACATATAAACTGTTGAATTTTTATATGGAACACCCCAATAAAATACATGAGGTGGCTACTCTAAAACTAGCACATTTAATGGTAAGTTCTAACATTAAGCTTTTTGATCAAAAAAGGCATTGCATTTAGTTAAAGTCCTCTGCATTTTACTTTCCCATTTATTGGAAAAGTGGCAAATGGGGATTTTGACAAAAAAGGTAAGAAAAGAATATTTAATTTAAAAGTCCCCCCCTCCCCCCCCAAAGACTTCCACAGAGAAAAACTATGACAAGATTACACAATTATACCATGGTCTTTTTTGCCTTAATAAACTCTTCCATAGTGTTTCAGAACTCTGTAAAACAAGGAGGAAAAATACCACCACTGGCAACTAGTTTCTCTTGTAGAGCAAAAGCCCCAAACCAGAAAGGAATTCAATGAACTTTCTGACAGATTCTTTATTACACCTCATGCTCGAACCTCCACTAAGGCACGGGATTATTTTCTCTTCTCCCCAGTTCTCTCATCTACTGTGCTTGTTCTCGCCTCTCTTTTCAACATGACTCTGCCTCCCTCTCCTCAAGATGCTTCTTTATAAAGAGAGAACAGAAGAAAAATCCTACTGGAAAGTAAATATGCATTTAAAATGTATTTTGCTTATAAACATGTTTTATTTACAAATACATATAGAACAGTATGCTCAACAAGCATTCTGCCTATTTTCTCTCAGATACCTGCAATTTCTAACTCTTCCAACCTTATTTTCAAGTATGCACTAGAGAAACACCTGAAAATCGAACTTATTTTTCTTCTCGCACTAAGGAAGAAAAAAAAACCACAACAATTTTGTACTGTAGTGTAACATTTGATCTGAACATCTGCTGTAAAAGCACTAACAAACCTGCAAACCAAACAAAAACAGAGCAGCACACATAACAGCTCATTCTTCTTAAGAGAATCTCCAACAAGAATTATTTTTGAATCACCAGATTAACAGAATTTCTTTTAAGTTATGACAGTACAATGTAGGTGGCTCCTTTGCAACATACATACAGGCCTTTTTACTTGGTGCACAGGACTCACAAATTTTGGTGACTTAGCTATTAACTACACTTTCTGTACTTTAGACACATGGTATTTAAGTTGCATTACGTCTGAATAATTACACTATGGTCTTCAACTACCCATGCAGAACCAACTTAGACTCTGTTCAATTACTTTCATCAGGGGAGAGGAGCATCACAGAAATTATCATTGTAATAAATGTCTCTGATGCTCCCTTCCCCTGCTGAAAGTAGATGTCAAGAAAGAAACGCTGGACTTTGTACCTGGATTGCGGAACATCACTGGCTGCACACTAGGCTGGGCACCTGCAGCTCGAAACTGCTGCAGAGGAACAAGCTGAATTATCTGCCCATTAGGATGTCTGAAGAGGTTCACACCACCAGGGCTCCTGAGAGGCTGAAGGATCATCCTCTGCCTTTGAGCAACCTGCGCATTGTTTACCGGTCGCAAAGCAGGAGATGTCTGATGCACTGGAATCAGCAACAATCGAGGTCCTACACGTTTCTCTGCTCCAGGAGACATCTTCTGAGGAGTCTTACTTACAGCTTGTGGAGTAGCATCTTCTGAAACATTTTTAAAATTATATAAAAATCAGCTTAAGAGAACAGCCTACAAATCAGACCTTATCCTTAATAAAAACAAGCACAAATATTTTGGAAACAACTAGATCTCTTTAAATTTGTTTGAATGCATTTTTTTTCTCTCTTTATTCACAGAACACACATAGAACCAACCAGCCCAGAACAGAACAGTCTTTTTTGTGCAGTTCCATCGACATGTCTCAACCATGACTCAGAAGACTTCCACGGTAACGACGAGAGAGTAATTCCATACCTACTTCTTGCACTCTATGCCAACCATAAAATTCTAGCAGTCATAACCATAATTGTGCTATACATTTCTATGGGCCAAGAAGTTATGAGACTTCCAGCTCATTTCATAGCAGTCACTGACCAGATAGCTGCATTTTTTTTCCTCCTCTACTGGCTTAGGCTGGAATAAAACAAGCAACTTGGGATTACATTTCTTACCCTATTTTGGAAAGAAGGGTGAGGCAAGTGAATCTATAATTAAATTGGGTTCTACAGTTGCAGACTGTATTCCAGCTATGAAGGAGGCAGAATTAAAAACAAAAAAAAAGGAAGCATCTGCAGTAATAGCCCAAAGCACCTAAGCCTTACCTCTTTTTGGATTTAGTGAAGGACTTGAATTAACTCCTGATAGTATAATTGGAACAGAGCCAGCAGAGGAAGTTGGTGTGGTCACCACAGATGTAGCTGTTGCAGTTGTTAGTACAACTGTAGAAGCGGATGTTGTGACAACAGGACATGTAACAGTTGGTGGTGTTACTACGGTTTTAGGGGATGATGTGGTTGCTACTGGTGCAACAATCCCTGTTGCTTTTGTTACGTTCACAGTGGCAGTTGTGGATGAAGGAATAGTACAGGTGTTGATTCCAGGTGTTGCAGGAGCAGCTATAACTGTATTTGCAGGAGGAGAGCAGGCAGGTTCATTAGCTCTCGTTTGGGTAGGAGTAGTCACAGTTGATGCTGCCACACCAGTACTTTCCACAGTAACTGGAGAAATGGTGGTGGCTGTAGTGACCCCAGGAGAGACTGTGCATTGAGCTGGAGATGGCCTTGAGGGAACCACGGGAGCAACAACCATTATTGATGTAGGCTTGACACTGAACTTCTGTGGCCCTGAAAGAGGCTGGCGCGTGCTCGCTCCAGGAATCTTCTGTTGTAGCGCTCCAGCTTTGTTCATCACAAACTGTGTGAACACACCACCAGGTGAGGGTCGGGCAGCTGCAAATAAAAACTTGCAGGTCAAAATTTTAATAGATTTCCTCTGCCTTTCATGAGGTGCTACAATTGTAATTTCAGCATGAATTTGAGCCTCCATTTTCTTTGTACCTTGTCATTAAATTGAAACTTTTTTGTGAGTCCTGAACATGCCTTACATCTTAGAAAAGTGTCTGCTTTATTCCACTTCTACAGCTTTTTGTTGCATTTCTTCCCAGCCACACAAGAGTCAGGTCTTGAGGGGTTGTTCTTTATCATGAAACTATGACCAGACAATTCTAATTATAGTACAGGAAAACAAAAACCTAAGTGAAATAATGGGCTCAAACTATTTTCTAAACCTCAGTTCTTCCTCTAACAGCATGTGTGATCTTCCTCTTTTCACTGCTTCTTGGTTTTCATCCTCCTTCTACTGTATTCACATCTTACACAACCATGGGGGAAAAAGGCAGGAGGGAGTTAGAATTTGCCATGTCACCTTCTCATTGCAGTGACATTTATGCAACCGAGGACTGGATGGGACAAATTTAACCAATAAGAAGTAAACACTATTGGAAAGATCCTTTCCCTCATCCCTTACTCTCCAAGGGATCAGAATACTGCATCTACATTATTCCAGATGCCTACATATGAGTATAACAGCATAGAGATTATGGAGTAAGTCCAGCTTAAATAGTGTAGTTATTTATGCATTTGGCATTTTTCACACAGAATATGCCAGAACACTTAGATCATATATGCAACGATCACTTCACCCATCAATGAAATGCAGCCAGCTCTTTAATATTGCATAAACACACAATACAAGAAGTTTTATTACAGGACAAGAAAAACAACACACCCATTTACACGACAATGAAAATTTAAGCAGAAAGAAACAAAACAATCAATCAGAAATTAAAGTTTTGCCAGGACACAGGTAACATCCTTTTCTCTTGCAAAGCTTCTTCAGATGTTTAATTAACACGTGGGAATATGTGGATGGGCACTACTTATTTTAATTTTTTTAACTAATACAAAATGCAATAGCTAAAGGCAACTTCCTCTCTTGCCATGCTGGGGTATCAGTATCAACTGACACAAGTACCACATGCTTCTTCCAATACTTTTTTTTTTAAAACTCGAAGTGATGACTAAGTCGAACCCCGTTTAGCTTGTGAAATCCAATGAGATTACAGGCCGGTGTGGTTATTGGCTGCACACCTGTTGTTTCGCTAATCCAGGTTTGGACCATCTTGTCTTTCGCTGCTGCTTCACATATCTTTGCTGGTCACAAGAATTCCAATTATAAGTGCAACATCATCAGAAAAGCTAACGCTGAAGAACCAAATATTAGAGTGATCCTTTACTCATTTTAAATTAAATCGATGTTTGATGAAAAGCAATTAAAAAAATCATAGTAAGGAAACTCTCAAAACAAAAATCCAACCTTAACATTCAGCGTGTCTCCATCCACTCTTTCTTGTCTCTTGAAAATATGCGCTAGTAGTACTAATAAAATAACTAACAGTCACACCTGTAATCTTATTCTGAAGTAAAAATAAAACTTTCTGCTTTAAAGAGGTTATTTATTGCAGAGGCAGTTTAGGTAGGCAATGCAGCCAAAGGCAGCATGCACTGTTGCACAGAAATCAACAGCAATCCTGTACACTCACTTTTTACTTCAGCTTCACGCAATTTAAAACACAGTAATAAGTTCCAACCTACCTATCTGTCTCTGTGCTGGGACATGGGTTTTCAGAGTCGTCACAGTGGGGGTTGAAGTAGTGCTGGTGGAAGATGTAGTTTTGGGAGTTGATGTTGTGGGCACCTGGACTGATAGTGTCCCAGAAGCAGCTGCTTTAGCATTGGATGCTACCTTGGAGATCACAGTACTGAGGGTTGAGATATCAAGTACTGTGGGTCGCAGCCTGCCTGTGACATAAGCTGCTAGCCGACTGGCGGGATGTAATGCCCCCATCTGTCCCAAAAGCAGTTTGGCCTGAAGATACCTTTTATCATTAACCTGAAAGAAGTGGAAAAGGGAAATTTTGTGAAAAGAATGCGAATTCACCACCTCTGGAGAGGCGTTTCATTCCATGGGACCTCCGAGTGTCCTTTTCAAAAAAACATTGCAATTCAGAATGGGAATTCCTCATTTCCTTACTGCCCCAGAGAACTCCAAACAACTCTGTTTTATCTTTAGAATACAGATTTTAGATGCTACTCAGACTCTCACATAGAACCAGAGAGAGTCCAATGGAGCATGTGAAATCACTGAAATCAGACCAAGTGAAGCTAGCACTTATTTTTCCTGTCCCTTACTTATGCTACAGTCCTGAATAAAAAATGAGTTCCCAAATTCAAGGATAAATTTGGATAAAATTCTCAAACCTAATTAACACCTAGCATCACAGAGGAAAGAATACTTATGTCATATACACTGGGACAAAACTCTAAAGAGCTTGTAAAAGCTTTATCAGCTTTTGTCTTATCCATACTGTCATTTAATACTGTAATAAAGGTATGATGAGTTGACTAACTTCAAATTCAGAGTTGTAGCGGTAACTGATTGCATGGGAGAGAAGAAACAGAAAACATCTTTCTGAATGTCAGGTTTTATGCCTACTGGTCAATGGAAAGTTTTGGTAGTGCGGCATTTTACTCTCAGGTTGTTTGATAATACCTTCTAAAAGCCAAATATATTTAACACACTACTAAATAAGGTCTTGGCTCTTTTTATTAATCAACTTTTAATAAAAATAAGAAATCTTCCTCCCACATTTTTGCTCTCCGCTAGCTTCTCTTTGTCAGGGCGCCATACCTGCAGAGTGTCATGAAAATAAATTTTACTCCTCTTCTCTAATTCATATGCTTCTCTGAAAGTGGTGTTACTATAACCACAAATACCTCTGACTGAAAAAGATCTTCATCATAGCCCTACAGTTTGTACCACCAATTCATAATACCAAGTTGGCAGCATGGAACTGCAGGGAAAGGACTCACTTTGAACTTTCTATTATGAAGTCTATTGATGAACAACATATATTCTGCAAAGAGGACACAGGCTACTAGTGAAGATTAAAGTAAGCTGTAGCAAAAAGCAATTTAGTGTTTACAGTTTCATTTTCAAGTTCTGTCCCAGTGTACACTTCCTCAGAAAATGTTCTTTTGTGGCCTCTAACAGCCATTCATATAGAAGTATCATCTGTCAAATGCATCTGCATGGAATTTGCCAAAGCACTGAAAAGATCTTGAGGGAGATTCTGAACTTGGGCCACCAAGACCCAAATGGCCAAAAGAACAAGCTAAACCATCAGATTTCAGACTTCCAATCAGATTTCCTGTTATCAAGTCAATTTTGAAAAGGGACAAGCTTATGGAGAGGCAGGAAAGACACCAGATACTAAGAATCTTTATCTGGACAGGCAAAAGACTAGGTAGACAAATTAAAGAGTGTTCTCCCCTTCAAGGAGTTCTGGGATACTGGATGAAACTGAATCTAATCTCCACAGTAAAGGCAGAGGGACCCACCTGAATCAAGCCTGAGGGGTTCCTATTAGCTTTGCGTTTGTAGACGACCAGCTTTCCCGCAGGAGAAACCCCTGCATAGAAAGGCAAGCCTTTGCCCCCATGCAACTTCTCCCGCAGTTTGTCCAATGTATCTGCCCGCAAGAACTTTAGCTTTTCTCGGTTTTTGCGTGACGGCACTCCGCTATCAGGAGTCTCCAAGACAGGTATCTCAGGCTTCTTGTCCTTGTCACGATAGGACGGCACTGAAATTTTCACTCTGGAGGAGTAGACAGGAGGGTGGTTCTCATCCTGGGCCTTGTGTTCCGAAGCCAATTCAATAATGAAGCTACCCACTTTGAGGCACTGTGGTGCATTACTGTTGATATGCTGTGATAAGATGGTCAAGATCTTACTGTGATCTTCCTCCCAGTTGCAGTCAGAGATAATCTCGATAAGTTTGGTTGGTCCACCTTGAGTGGTGTGATGAACATAGGAGGTGGAGGAAGAGTCCCCCTCACTACGGGAAGACCACCAGCTTTTCTCTGAGAAAGAATTGAAATAGGTTTCTGCAATACTATGGCATTTTAATCACCTGGATATTCAAACAGTTTTATTCTGCCCACACCTCCACCCTTGTCTCAGCTGCAGGGCAACAAGTAAAAGAACTGTTTAAAGCATCACTTCCCCTTGCAGAGCTTTACAAGCAAGCAAAAACTCACTGCAAAACTACTGTAACTATTTCTCACAGTTCATTCCCTGCAGCCATACCATCTCACGCTGTATCCCATTGCATCACAAGCTAAACAAAGCTGGGTTGTTTCAGTACATGGATGAAAGATCTCCAAGCAACACCAACATGCAGTAGAAAGCATCGCTGGTTATTCGAGATGTCACTTTTATCTTGGAGTCAGAAAAGGACCAGTGTCCTATAATGCCATGAGGGGCAAACACGCCACTAGCAGAACTGTCTTTTGCAGAAGATGTAAAACAGAAGCATGACCTTTTGTTGTCATTAGAGATCCAACGTCAGTTTTTGCAGAACTGTAAGGATGTTGAGCCCTGTGTCCTGGCCATTTAATTTCACCTACCAATTCACCAGCATTTTCAACTAGTTGTATTATTTTTCCATTCCCATCCTTAAATGTAGAGTGTGCTGTTGTACACATTAAACAGGGAAAAAATTCAGCTCAAGAAGGCAGCTATATTTCATTAGTGGATGACATAATGCCTCTAGTGTACGTCTCATTTTGAAGTTCGTAACACGATTTAGGCCACTTCAGACTGAAGGAGAACACAGATGTCTAGCCTACTTCTTTATAAACTAGAAACTCAAACCCAGCATATATAATGTAGTAGAACTTCAATTCAACCTTTCAACTTGAACTAAAAGAATTAAACAAATCTCCAAATAAAGTATAGGCGCTTCCTTGTCCCATATAGTCCTAAGTGGAGAACACGAGGATCCCATCCTCCCAGTACCACTTGGATATTTATTCAGTAACTAAGAAGTAATAGTAAGGGAAAAGAAAAAAGGAGGGGGACACAACCAAACAAACCAAAAACAGTGATCTCCATTCCTTCCCAAGTATCTAATTAGCATTCTTGAAGGCAAGTCTGCTGTGCAGTATTACCTTTTATTGCTAAACAAGCTACTGTAATACTGGCCATTTTAACCTTAGAACAATAGCAAGTACTGGATATTTAGCCTGCTCCCACAACATCTCCCACAACACACACACAACTCCTTAAGAAAACACGAAATTGTAAGCACATCATAAGGTTTTTTTTATTGACAACCGTAATAACTCCCCCAGCAAATGGACTTTTGTTTCATCAATAGCTGTAAAGTCTTAAAAAAATAAAGCCAACACACAACAAAAAAAGAAAATGTGGAACTACCAAAGACATCAAATTATACTCAAGACTCAGCTCTTACCTCCTGATTTATCAGTGTCTTTGTCTATCTCACAGGTTGTTTTCTCAGGAGACTGAAGCTCTAGTTCATGGTCCTGCAGGAGGAAAGAAATGCAAGAAGAATATTCATCCAATGTATCTTTCTTCCATGCTAAAAATCACATCACAAAATAAACTAATTCATCATACTATCATATGTATATGATACAAATCATAAAATTATAAAATATATGCTAACTTTGACAACGTTACAATTCGCATCTTAGAACAGCTCTTTCAACAATGAACATTTAAGCCTTACATGATAACACACTTGGCAGCCAGGAATTTCCACAGACAAGACAATGTCTACTGCAGTAACAAGATAAGTCTGACAGCACTGCTAGGTGATTTAGGCTCCGGTTCCATGGCCCTATCACCATGAAATGTAAGTCAAGCCCTCATGTCACATAGGAGCTCCTGGGGAAAAAATTACTTCAACACTTTCACTATTTCTGCTTGTTCTATGACACATCCTAGTTACAGTGTCACTTCTTACCTTTACAATAGAACTCTGTGAATCACTTTCATCTTTTTGTTGCTTTTTCTCCTCTCTCCTGCATTCATATGCTCGGACCCTTGCACAAGTCATCATACTTTCAAAGTACAAGTAGACAGGATCCTTGTCCTCCTCTCGAATCTATGAAGGAAAAAAAAAAAGAAGAAAACCTCTAAATTTTAGATGCACATTAGATTTGTGAAACTGTTTTGCTTTCTAACAACACTTCAACATTAATGTTTCAATAGTAAATGTCAAAAGAAAGGTCTAGTACTTAAAGCTGAAACTGCCCTCTTAGTATCACATAGCCCAGTCTACACCTTGTTTCCAAACTACATATTCAGGGCAGGGGGGGAACGGAACACCATGACCACCCCTAAAAATCCAAACCTGTTCAGATACTCTTAAGTGGGGAACTGAGTCCTAAGTGTCATGCATTGTTTAACATTATCTGGTATACATTAAACAGCAACTCTGGTATGTTTGTTCTTCAGACATAACTAGACTCAATTCTTCTGTTCTTCCTCTACTGCTGCTGTTGCTTTTGTTAGATAAACAACAGGGTGTTTAGGGGAGGGGAGAGGCAAAGGCAGATTCTTCCAACATTGGCAGTGAAACCTCAAAGAAGAACAAAAAAACAGACTCCAGGACTACACTGAACAGTGCGTCTGCATCCCAGTATTATTTTTTTTTAAGTACTTAATTAATTACATAGGCTACATTATGCAGCTAATAACTTACACAAACATTACAGGACAAGCAATCATTTTGCCAGAAATAGCATATATTAGTGCATTTTTTAAATGAGGCTATTAGTGAATCATAATCACCTTCCACCATCTGCATATTGCTACAGCAAATTCTCAACAGAAGACAGACATTATAAAGGTTTATATACATTGAATTCATCCTAGCTTACCAACATACCTATGGGCAGAGTCAATCTTAGGTTTTCATCTCAAATTTAATCTAAAATGGCCTAGCACAGAAGCTTTTGACAGTGTTTCTTTTAATTTTCAATACAAAGAAAAACAAAAGCATCACTTTTCCTTTCTTACCACTGGATTGGGTTTAGGAGTATACACTCTGCCTGGTTTCATTCCACCGGAAGACCTATGCTTACTAGAAAGCAATACTTCTGGGTTTGGCAGTACTGCAGATTTAACTGGTTCGATAACAGAGGGTGTTGGGATGTAAATTGGCTCTGGATCTATTTCACCTTCTACTTTCACCCACAATGGACAATTCCTAATAGGCTGTTCTGGCTCCGAGTCACAGATAGCTGAAAAAACAGGAAAAAACAAAACCAACTTACTACTAAATGAAACACCATCTAACACAGCAGTAACAGAAATTTTTGTTTGTGCCTATGGTCTAGTCATGCAGCAATCACTAGTTCATACTGCCAGAAAATACTACTGGTTGTTTTTCTTGTCTCAAATTCTAGCCAAAAGTGACTGGAATTTGTCCACAAGAAAGAGGAAATGAAAATAAAAAATGATTCTACACTAATCATCGTTTCTCACTTGTACTGTGATAGCAGACACAGAAAAAGACTGAACAATTAGTGATCTTCATGGATGCTGTATACTTAAAAATTACAAAACACCCCCAAAACCCCAGACTCTATACCACAGCTCTATGGCAGAATTCGTTTATTCCAATGGAACACCAGATAACAGTTTCTTTTTTGCTATTGATAAAAGTACTACTAGCAAGAAACTGAAAGTATAAATTCATGGTCAGTTTCTACCAATTTGGTTTTCTGAGCATCCTGTAGGCCAGATCTGAAACTACTATAGATCACTGTATTTCCACTGAAGTCAGTGAACTATGCAGCCATATACAGCAACTGAAAATACAGCTATAGATACTCACTTGGTAAGAGGGAAAGAAAACAGCACTGTGACAGTGAAGATTACCAACAGCGATAGCAGTAATTATCTCAGAGCCTTAGTCTTTAAAGATATTTGGAGAGTTGAGCAAGAGTTTAAATTATCAAAAAGAAACTCTGGCTATTTGATCACAATAAACTAAGTAGTGTCCAAAATGCTGATGGGATAAGAGCTAAAAAAAAGGGAAAAGGTATTACTTCCCACCAGTCTCTTGGAATTCACTCCCAATTTCTGGATTTAGAAATGGCATCACTACTGCATCCTAATAAAAATGCCCACCAAGATAGGTGGTTTCTGCAAAGTTGTAAGTAATCACTTTTGCCCAGCAATACTCACTGTATTCCACTCTTTTTCTCTTCTTCTTATCTTTCTGCTTCAGCTCATCTTCCTCCCCATCACCCTCTTCTTCCACATCTTCATCCTCTTGCTGTTCTTCTTGTGTTCCATAGAACACAAGATTTCCACGCACAGCCTTTTTCATTATTTTCTTATGTTTTGATCCACCCTTCACCAGCAACACTCTTCTCTTCAAGCAAGTACAACCAAACATACAGTCTGGCCTGCGGCAGTGGGTAGGCTGACGTTTCTCCAGTGCTAGACTGGCACATATGCAACCCAGTCGACAGAAATCATTATTGCAAGGAGGTGCTCGTCGTCTTATTATTTTGTGGATAGGTTTGTTTTTGAGAGAAGCCTAAGAAAAGTTTTAAAGAATTATACACTTAAATTTTAATAAGACAAAATTTTAGCCAGATTAAATCAAGCATATGCAAAATTGCTATTCAAAGTTCATTTAAAATAATCCCTCCACCTACACGGTTTACATATGAAAATTTGTCATCTACACTAAAACAAAAAAAAAAAAACCACACACACCACCAAAAACAGAGGAGAGTTTGCATTTGAAGTATTCTGAGAGGCAATCTGAGACAGCTAAACCATCTTGGTAATAAGTAGGATGTGAAGAAAGCAAAAGAGGTTATCATGTGACAACCAAGTACATGACCAGGCTTTTTTTGCAGTTAGTTCAATGGAAAAAAGAAGTGACAAATAGTAAGGAAATGCAGTTACTGAACAGCAATTGTATTAACCAGAATTTTTTAAAGTTGAAAATTTGAGATAACTCAAATCAATGATTCATATCAACAGCTATTACCACAATTATTTTTTTCCACACACTGCAAAGTCAGCACTTCTCAACTTTCATTGCAAAGACTACACCACAGAGGAACATCATGCTTTGTCACGCTCCTTAGTGGCTTGCTTTGTCACGCTCCTTGCACAGATTTGGAAAAGCAACAGTACAGAAAGAAAGAAACTATTACAGATCTACCTGAGCCGTAAGCAGGGTTGCCAGAGAGATGTCTGCTCGTTCTTCTGTAATATAGGTCCGTGGTTTGCCATCCCAGAGAGCACAGTCTTCCAAGTCCATTAACTTCACTTGAGATTTAGACAAACCTGGTGGACGAGCTGCATGTTGCTGTTGTGGTGCTTGGCGCAAACTAATCTGTTTTGGAAGTATGTTTTCATCCAGAGCTGGCACCACAAAACTATCCGCTTGGTTAGTCAAACTGCTATTTGAGACAGACTTAGCAGCCTTTTCCCCTGATCCTGAAGAGTTCTGTTTCTGCTTTGAAGAAAAAGGTGAAGGCAGGATAGGCTTGTAAGATGATTTTACTCTACTGTTTGTAGATGTCTGCCTGTTTTGAGTCTTTGTCTTCCTAGAGGTAGATGACAGGGGAACAGGCTTGAATGTATAAGATGTTGATGGAATTATGGTGGACTGCTTCTTCAAAACACTGTCAAGTGTTCGCACATAGCTAGTGCTCTTAGTGGGAAGCTGATACACCACAGGAGAAGTGGGAGTGCTAGAAGAGAATCCAATACTTGTTTCCATCAACTTCCCTTCATTTTCCAGGTACTCATCCAGCTTGTCACTACAGAATGCTGAGCGATTCTTCAACGAACCTTCTGAACTGCCACCTAAACAAATACAGAGCACTTCAACTAGTTCCTGGGAAAATATACTGACAAATCTTATAATAATTAAAGAATATATGAGGTAAACACCTCTCTCAAAATATATACAATTCTTTTAGAAGAGTACAACACAGGCACACCAAACATAACCCACTCTGAAACACAACCAGCTGCCTGGTTTTGTGAGATTTTGCATGTGTATTCATTCACAAAATCAGTAAACCTTCAACAGGCAGTGCTTCTGTGCAACTTACTTTGTCCTGAATGTCTAGCCTGCCCGGCATGCCACAATACATCTGGCATATCCCAATGCAACATTGTATCAAAGTGCAGAAGGTACAATGTAAATATTTAATCTTTATATAAATTAAAAATTGGCCAATTGCCAAATACCCATTTCTTCCTGGGGCAGGGCAAAGTAATCTAGTATGTACAGAATACCTACTCTAACTGGAGTTAAAAATACACTGATATATATAAAAATTACTCTAGTTCATTAAGGTCCTTGGGGCAAGAGAATTCTGGAAATACCATATGCTGAAGTAAACTCAAAACTGATGAACAAAACCAAAACTATTACAGCTTTTATCTTCACTCAAGCCTTTTGTGTAAAACAGAATATATGTATTTTTTATCTTACTCAAAGTAAGTTTCTCCCTTCCCTCCTAAAGCTCCATTCTGACCAGGGAAACATTACAAAAAAATTCTTTATGCATGACAGTTTCAATATAAAAAAATAAATCTCTCATTAAGACACACAGAATTATTAAATTGCAAGACCTATAGAAGGTCAAGTAAAAGGCCACATGTTTGAAATATTCTCATCTCTCTCTCTTTCCGTCTTTTTTTTTTTTTACCTTCATTTCTAGAAGCACCATGAAGCTTCCCTCGCCAGCCTTTGATTTTTGTGAAGTCATTTGTCTTTCCTGTCCTGGAAACAAAAGGAAATCCGGTATCTGGAAAAGAAGCAGCCTAGCCTCAGTTTATGAGCCATACCTGACTGTGCCAATGTCCTAGCAAACTCTGCTTATTCCTTTTCATGGACATATGAACAGTAGTAAAATTAAAGACTGAAGACAGACACTTGATTTTTACTTTTTTTTTTTTTTTTTTTTTTTTTTTTTTTTTTAACTAACAGAATAAAGCCAAGCTTCCTGTAGAGTTCCACTGTATGGCCATGCATCTGCTATCCCATGCAAAAGATGCCTTCTCCTGTATTTTCAGTTTTAGTCTCCTCAGCAATGGTGCAAGCAGTTGATTCCAAAACTCAAACAGGCAAATCAGCTACTTAGTAGGCTAAAACGGAACAGGCAGATTTTGAGTTGATACTACAGCCTCTTTCAGTGAGATGAGCCAATGGCTTTTGTAAGACCTGTGGAAACTTCATTTAATAGTTGCTGTTCTGTCAAATTCAGCTGATTATCAATTAGGGGTAGAGACAGGGAATAATCACAAAAGGCAAATGGCAACATCTCTGTCAAGTTATCCATCAGCTCTGGAGCCAAGGTGGAATGTAAAAATACTAATAGGGATCTTTGCAGCTGTTTTACATATTGCTAGGCTAGAAATAATTGCATTTGACACTGAGCTGACTGAGGTCTTCTGAATTGAACCTGCCTCTCTTGCCGTGTAAACAGCCGAGATACAATATCTGTCTCTTTACCAGCTCCCAAAAGCAGCAGATTAAGACAGACACAGTAATCAGAATATTAAAGTAAGAAAAAGAGGTAAGTAGGAGAAAGCTAAGCACTCCTCTACTTTGTCGAACCAGTTTATTAAAAACAGTATCTAACAACAGCATTAGAATCATAGTCACATTATGATGAGGAATGCATTTGTTTGCATATCAAAGAAGTTTAAAAAAGCACAACTGTTCAGCACTTTTGTAACAAATAATTATCATGAAGTTACAGGTTAGCCCCCAAGTGGCACCTCAAGCTCTTCTGGAAAGTTCTGATACTCAGCTCTGTGAAAGACAACTGTTTTTGTTTTGCATGTGAGCAACATCAGAGAAAAGGAGATTGCTTAGGCTTTTTCTGAGCCATTTGAGAATAGTTAATGTGTGTATTTACATTTAGAAAATCTGGCTCCAACAGACAAAACATGCCTGTATTAAAATAAGCTGGACAGATACTATTATTGGATCACAACCACCACAAAAATGAAGGCTAAAGACAACCTGGTCAGAATGACTCAGGACTCCTTGGCCAGTAACAGCATAATGATTTAAGGAAGTGATGACACTTTGTCATTTTAATAACTACTTTAATCTCTTTAAGATATCAAGTTCAACTAAACAGCCATTCCCTCCTTCTGATCATTGATAATAAAAAAAGGTAATACTTGCGATTTCAGCAAATTCATAGTCTACCCACCTGGAGAATTTGGATTGGTTCCTGGATAGCTCCACAAAGAGTAATTTGAGTAGGAAAGAGGCAGCTGCACACCCAAGTATTTCAAGTCAATGCTCATTGTTGGGTCCACAGAATTCAACTTCAGTCCCACTACAACAGGCAATATCAGTAAATGTCTCAATGCAGCAAGATGTTAGGAAAGTCAATGCATTTACTAAAAAATAAACCAGTAAGTTATAGATAAGCTTTTGTAGCATCCACCCACCATTTTAAGAGACCTGAAAGAGAATATTATCAATTGTAACCATTACTTATGCTGGAGTTGCAGCACATATGAATTAAAGAGTATTTTAGGGAATGCGAAATCAAGAAAAAAATGGAATTAGTTTTCTTGATTACTACTGAAGTTTCCATAGAAATTTATTAACCGAAGTGCCAGTGTTGTAATAATTCCCATAATAAAAGTTTTTGTTTGTTCATTTCTTGAAGAAGTTAGCACCAGTTACATCCTTGAAGGCTAGTTACTTCCTGAACCAAACCAGCCGACTATTTGACATTTCATATCACTATATAAATTATCAGTCCTGCCAGTGGTACTTACACACCCCCTCCTCCACTGAAACCTATTTTTGTGCGAGAGATGTACCACACACACTTCAGTTTCAATCAGCAGTAAGAGACAAGAGTAAACCACATTTCAATTCTGAAGAAGTGTGTGTGCATGTTTGGAAATCATGATATAAACAAAGCTGTGTTCAGACAGTGCTCTTAGGACTAGTTCATCAAATGACCAAGATCTCAGTACGTTATTTTTTTCCAGACTTGGCAGTTTCCAATAAAACACTTTTTTTAAGCAGAGAGAAAAAACAACTAAAGAAACTAAACAATCCATGTTGTTGATGCCACCACAATGCTTAACTGCCTATAACACCTTCCTTCAACAACTCCCCCAAAATACTCAAATTGAAAGACTTGACTTGGTCACAAAAGGTATCTAAATATAGATACAGAAATGCTGAGAAAAAAGATGCTACTAAATTTGACTTCATAACTTTTTCAGAAAAATATCGTTACACTAAATTCAAGAAATTATTGTTGTCAATGAAATTCAGCTCACAGTATGAAGTTGAGAACATGTATTCTCATTTTTAGCTACAGAAACCTAAAAATGTTGCTCCTGTTGCCAACAAATCTGAAATTCATATATTAAATATGTTAGTTGGAAATTGAAAATGTAGTACTTGACAAGCCTCAGGACACAAAGTTGTACTTGCACATACAGTAGAAACCTTGTGTTGGTGGTACACATTCATTTTTGTACGTGGCAAAGTGACCCAATTACTGGCAGTCCAAAAACAATGGACATGGAACAAATCTCAGACAGTTGTTTGAACAGATACCATTCTCAAAGACAGTCTAGTGAGATATAATTTTCAAATCTACATCGGGAAAATGAGCAGCAAGTCAATGCAGCATTTTGTATAAAAACATGTCAACTGCCAAATGGATGCCATACACTTCTTTTCAAGCAAAATTTAAAATAAAATGGAAAGAGTAGATACAGTTTATTTTTCTTGATACTCCATTTGAATTATTCTGTGATCTTCAAAAACAAGCCTAGCTTTGTTTAACACTCAAACGAAAATAAGAACACCACCCATACAGAAAATCAATTATTTCAGTTTAAGATCATGAACTAAAAAACACCCAGACAAAAAACAGAGGATGGCTCCAACAAGTGTAACATGGAATAAATGCAGTAACAGTAAGTATATGTCAGTACAGACATGAACTATCATGAATACATGACATGAACTATCATTTTTATTAATTTCTATCATCCCATGTATTGCTAAATTTCAGTTGCTGTAATCAAATAGTAGCAAATGAAGAACCATCTCCTTCAGAACTTTCTCCTCTCCATCAGATGCAGCTGCTAAATCTGAAATAAGATGCTTGACAACAGTGCCTTTGATTTTCAGGAATATAAGGGATTCGAATTAGCTCAGATAGAAGAGGCATCCCATAGTACCCATTCCAGTACTCCAGCAGGAGCTTTCACTCTAACATGCTTAAGTTGAATCCCCTTCTTTCTGAAGCATCTTCTTCCTGCAGTCCTGGTGATTCTAAGATTTAGACAGCCTCAATCACCATTTTCTTAACTTCATATATCAACAGTAACTGTGGGGTTCAGGTACTCCTCCAACACATCATTAGTGAATCTCAAAAGAAACAAGCTTCTTGACTATATTGTTTAAAACCAAAAGCATGAGTTAACATCAAAATTGCTATGTACGTTTCCCGTACTGCAGTGAGGACAAGAAAGCCAGTAAGCTTCTACAAAATGGCTGAAAGCACATTTAGAAACATGCGCTTCACATCTTCCAGACATAAGGGAGTCATGCCTCTATACCTGTTCTGTAGTAGATGACAAGAAGGTATTAGTCATGATCTATGGCGAAGAAATTTTGGCGAACAAGCATCAGAATCAAGAAGGCCAATGAGGCTGCACCAAGCTACAAGGTGCTACTTAGAATCAGTATGTCTGGGAAAAGGTACAGTCCTTAAGTTTCACCTAAAGGCACTCCTCAGCCACCTCCTTATGTCTTACTGACAAAATTGTAGAGAGAGAGAGAAGAAAAAAACCCCAACAATCCCTCTCTCCATTAACATAATTGTGTTCCTTCCCCCATCTCAAGTCTGCAACAAGAAGGCAAAAGATCTGTAACTTTTTGGAAGGTGATCTGAATAAAGACTGACTCCAGTTCACATGCAGCAGCTAAAGTCTAACAACAGAAGTATTTGTATTGTAATTCACTTCACAACCTCATCAAATTACATCTATATCTGTCTGCAGTAATGCTCTTGCTGCAAATAGTCTTCACATAACTTCTTTTCCCCTCTAAGAATTAGACACGTGAGGGTCATTCCCTTCATTGTCGACTTACAGTTTCACCATTTAAGAGGCTCAGCAGATCACCATCCAACACTGGAAAAGGTGGTCACCAGCATTCAAGAAAATCAAAATTTTTCAGATCTTTTTCTGAGCTTGATGCTTGACTCTTCTTGTCTATTTTGTAGTATCTGTGAACTGCTCCACCCTTCAACCACACATTTCACCACCACTCATTCAGAAGCTGGAGGAGAAACAGGTGGGTTTTACACATTCCCAGCTTCAGTATCATCTCATGAGTAAAACAGCCCTTGCTAGTGTTCTGGCTGCCAACATACCATAGTTTTATTACACTTTTCTTGGGTAAAGATAAAATCTAGGAGACCCACAACATAATCCAAAAAAGCCTTAACGTTGCTGTAACATTTGCTTAGCACTGTATCTAGCATTGCCAGCAGCTGACCACAAAAGGGATTTTACTACCATTCTTGAAATATGACAACACATGCAGACCTGCGAGGGCAGGTTGGCCAGTGAAGTCATTAGAAAACAGGGACACTTATTTCTGGAATCATGGGAGGGGAAAACTGCATTTAGACATCCATGACACAACTAACAAAGTTGATACTATACCACTGAGGTCCAACCTGGCTGGGGACAGGTTATCGTGTTTCATTCCCACCACATCCAGGACAGAGCTCCAAGAGCTCTCTATTACCCTTCTTATGACCACTTTGCAAAGGTGGAGGACAGGAATGTCAGCTCAACACTAGCAAGATGCAAAGGCATCTCTTTAAATGGTTGCAAAAAATGCCAGGCTAGTTCTCATCATACCCCGTGCATAAATCATTCAAGATAATCCAGGGTTCTTCACAGTAGAAGCTCTGTGAGGACCCAAAATAACTAGTATCAGAGTCAAGATCAGTATTTGGAGTCTCAAACCCTACAGCACCACAGTTGTATGTTTGAAAAATTCAGGGCCAGAACCTCAAGAGCATGACGTATGATGCTTCCATTCACATCAATTTCTTCATCATCTGCTCTGATGGCTATGTTAATGCCATAGGTCTCTATTGCTGAAGACTCTCAACATCATCAGTAGAGAGAACATTAAGTTCTGCTGTGTTGATCCTTGACCTCTTCCAGGTTGTGATCTGTCATTTATATACAATATTATTCTGAGGTCAGCTGGAAGTACCTTGCTTGGCCCTCTTATGTGGCTAGTGAACCTGTATCTACAGTGACTCAAAGAAATACAGACTCAAACATAGCAAATGTAGTCTTAGCTAAATGTTTCTGCACATCTAGCTCGTCTACTACCAGGAAATGGCTATTTTCTATGAAGGAGTAAAATCAACTCCATCTGCTCTCTACAAGGATTAGCTCATTACAAAACAGGCATGGCATGAAGTCTGAAGGCTCAGCATCTTTTGCAAGAGGCATACAATGACATGCAGACTCTTGCTCTGCTGTTGGACATTCAGGATTCGTCACCTGCCTCCTCCACCTCCCAGAAGTTTGCAACATGAATGTGTGAAAACGAAAACATCTTTACTGGCTGGCTGAAACTACTTTTAAAGCCTCTAAGAAAAAAACTGGGTCAGACACCACAGATTCTCTCTCATTGCCACAAGTGGCAAGAGGAAAACTAGCAGTTTCACACAAATTCCTTTCATACTCTCACATTCGTACATACACACTTGTATGCTTTACTGCATTTGAAAAAAAAAACAAACCACAACCAAAATCAGATCCCAGCTGTATTGGACATACACAGTATTACATCCAGTAGGAAATTATCAGCTCAGTATGATTAAGTATAATGTACAACCATGTGCAACAATATGTACACTGCCCACTTACCTTCCTGAAGGCTAGGATGTATTACTTGCTTATGCCTCAAGGTCTTCAGCTCTTCCATCAATTCCTTTTCCAGTACTTCTATTCTTGCTTGACAATCTACTCAAAGAAATAAAAAAAGAGAGAACATATAAAAAACATTTACCATGCAAAAAATTTACTTAAATGATTATTTTTCCAGTATGTCTTTACAAATTCCCTTATTGCAGGGAACAGCCACTTACAAAAAAATACAAAAATGTACCTGGATCATTTGTAGTCAACAAGGGAGCTTGAAGATTCTGTGACTCTTCTCCTCCAGCTCTATCAACAGTGTGAATGTCAAGAGCTTCCTACACACACAAAGAGCCTTGAGTAAGTATAAGATACCTTAAAACACTGACTTTGATACAAACTAGGCCACTTCAAAACATTACTGAAATATTCAAAACATTAGAATTAATTAAACATTTGAAAGATTGTTTAATAAACAAGTATACATTCTTTTATACAGACCTCTAGATCCTACTATTTCCCCCCAAGTTGCTAAGAAGTAAGAAAATGTTACGATTAACATAGAGACAAGGTAACAGATTTGGAAAGAGGCCATAAATCTCAAAATTCAGTTTAACATAAAATATACTTCCAGCTTATAAATTCAAAGGGCTTAAAAATAAGACATTAAAAAAGGTTTTGAATTCTGCTCAGAACAGTTAGGTTTTACCTTTGATGCAAAGGACACAAAGAGGACTCCATCAACATCTTCAAGGTCCGGCTTAACATCCGGAAGCATACTCCCAGGCCCCAGAGAGGTGTTCTTGCTTGTTATTACAGTTTTCCCTATACCTTTAGGTGGTCGACCAGCCTTGGAAATTTTCAGTTTCCGTGGCCTTCCTCTTTTAGTTGTAACTGATGATAGGGTGTTTTGATTGCTACCAGAGCCTTTCAGGGACATAGGATTCTTCAGTATACCAGGTCTTTTTCTTCCACAAATCTCTTTAGCTGAAAAGTGACAACTTACTGAACCCCTGAGATTAAAATTAGGAGATTTAGATAGAGCCCACTGGGCCTCTCTGATTGAAGAGTATTTCTGTGACATTTTACTCCCAGGAGATTGTTTTTTCATCATTAACTCCTCAGTTACAGTGGCTGTGCCTGAGCAAGAGCCTTTGTGATTTTCAAAGCACACAGGCAAGGAATCTAATACTGCACTCAAAGGGGATTTATCCTTCTTGCAAGAGGAGAGCATGGTCTGTGGCAGCTCAGATACCTTCACTGTGCTCTTTGTGACTGCACAAGGTTCCAAATAGACCACAGGCATCTTCCCACTATCCAGTTTTAACATTTTTGCTTTGGCAACACCTGAAGGACTGGTTAGCACACGCTTCCTCAACCTGAATTCTCCGTCAATTCCACCTGTTTCACTGCGTCTCATCAGGTGTTTTTGTAAGATGGGATCATCATCATCAGTGTTGGAATACTCATCAGTTTCTTCATCTGTGTCTTCCTGTTTCACACTTACTCCTTGTGTGCAAATATTTGATTCATAGTCATAGTCATCTACTGGTTCCTCTTTAATGACTACGTTAAAGTGTCCGTTTGGGTCCAACGGGGATGCCACACGGGAACTGCTTTCATAACTGCTAGCAATGGGACTGCAATGGAAGGGAGGGAACAAAAACAAAACACAACACAAGATCTTTATCACATCTCTTCCTTTACCGAAATACTATCATCTCCCATAATCCTTGGTTACGTATTGCAAAAAACTTTCAAAATGCTCTCAGCCATGAGTCTGCCAAATAAGCTGTCATTTACAAGTTTACATTTTTAGAAGTAAGCACTCAAAAAAAATTAAAATTGCCATCATTATAAACAATCCAACTTCTTATCTGAAGGCAGCAGGACAATTTCCTTCCCTAGTAACATCAGGGTGACATTTGCATTTTTTCCTATTTGCGACTCAGCATGAACTCATGCTAAGCTATCACATTTTAAATGCTCAGAAGTGGCCTTAGTTTGCTGTGTATCTCATTGTCACTGTACTAAAGCCATTGTGCTTGCAAATAAGAAGCCAAGTGAGCACCTGATGCACTTCAATTCACATGATTTAACTAAAATTTTAGTTAGTTCATCCTCAAGCCACATACAGAGAACTCCTAAATTCAACTTGTTGCTTGAATGCTTACAGAATGTTAATATCCTACTGAATTATACTCCATCCTCCATGAAGTCTGAGTATTAACCTAACCAGAATTCAACATGCTATGCGTTAAATACTGAAGACTAATGGTGCAGCCAGTTACACTCTGACAATGAGCTTTTTTGAGGAACAAATACGTCAGTCAAAAAACTGCAGTCAGCAGTTTTGTTAGGCGCATCAGAAGCTGACTCCTCATCATAAGGGGAAACAGCTAAGATATAAAACCAGAAACTCATATCCACAATGAACCTCAGAAAACAATAGTCAGAGTTCATTTACTAAACGTATCACACAGTATTCCAATACTCCTTTTATATGTATTTTAAGACACTAGATATAGTTTAATTATGTTAGTTTATTATTCCAATTGTTAACCTTATGTTCTTCAAAAGTTATTTAAATAACAATATTAATGTTAGTTAATGCTCACATAATTTTAAATATAACTTAATGCGATATTAATAACAATGTATTATATATAAAGGGAATATTGCTTTTTTTATATATATGTATTTATGTGTTTTTTACTATTATTATCCATCCCCCTGTCTTTAAAGAATGACTATACTCAGCTGAATCCCTGGCTGAGGGAAGGGAAGATGTGGAGGAATAGGCTGCTTCTGCCTTGTGTAGACTGATGACATACTTAAGGGAGAAAAGCTGGGATACACAAGAGTAACAACATGGAGTTCGTAGTCTCCACCTTATGAAGACAGACTGCAGTGTTAAAACAGGGAGCAGACAGTCAAGACACAGATTTACATATCTACATACAAAATTCCTAAGAACGAGACAGAACTTATCTAGAAAGCCTGCTGCAATTCAGAAGGACACCAAGTACCCAGCACCAAGCTTGAAGCAAAACCCTGCCTTGTGAGGGAGTGTGCGGCAGGAGAGTGGCATACCAGTCCTGTTCTGTCTACTGTCTTCTCTGGACAATGAGTTTGCTATTAGAAAGTTTCTAGCTTTCATTTAATTAAGAATGTCAAGTGTGGAGATTAAAAAGCCTTCCTTCAGTGAGTTTACAGTGAAGAAATTCTAAGACAATCCACTTACAGGTTATGGGCAACTCAAAATCCTGTCACATTACAGCCAGAGGTTGCTTCATTACAGCAGATCCACAATTAAAGTGAAGGCTACTAAGAAGATCTGAGTCATCTGCTCCTCTATCTTAAAATTCTCTAAAATAAAGGGACAAAAACCCCTAATAAATTTGCTGTCCAGGAATAAATGTCTCATCTGAGTTCTACTGTTTCCAGCTGGAAGCCCTGTAAAGCCTGGACTTCTCTAGCCATTTTTCTTTATTGCAAGATGTATACTCAAGCTAAGGATTACCTTCCTATTAGGGATCTGGACAATATCCAAAACAAAGAAGCCCTGCTGTATAAATAGAAATTTCTAGACACAAATGTTATTTATTGAAAGTACTGAGATATAGAGATTTTTTTTTTTTAGGTCGATAATTTTAAGATACACCACAGAGAAAAATAAAATCTGATTTCTTTTGGAATTAATCTAGCAATCTGTGGCTGAGGTCTGAAGGATGATCACTTGCCTTCCTCTTTTGAAAGGAAGGTAAGAAGGGAAGAAAAGTAAACTGTCAGACTAAAGACAAGACAACTAAATTACAAAAATAAGACTATTGGAGCATTAAAAATCCCACAGTATTTGAATTCCCTACTTCAAAATTCAAAAGACCTTGAATGGTAGAAAGGGTACCATTAGCCTCTAAGACTTAAGAACCAGTAAAGTTTGCTAGTGGTTCCCTCCATATCCCCAACATCTGAGTGATTCCAGGAATAAGCATTCCTACAGAAGTAGCCACGACTCAAATTAAACATTTATTTTCTTTACAATTCACCTGATGAAACTAAGCATACTACCAGGCCACAGAAAAAAACCAAACCATACTATCTTGTATAAAGAAAACAGTCCTTTATTTCCAAAGTGTGCTAATAACACAGGGTTAAAATTATTCTCAGGTAAATGCAACCTTTTACATAGTTCAATTCTCAAAAATGTCAGAAGAATTGAGCATTGGTGGGAAATATCATACACTACAGCACTAGGATCTCCATTTCCTCTGGAGAGCGTTATCTGCGAGGCAGCAATTCCCAACTTCTAACCCGCACTGAAGTCTAAACTCAGCAGAAATCACCACCTTGCATAAAAGCAAGACAGTGCCTATCAACTACTAGTAACAGGTTGCCTAAGACAAAAAAAAATTGCCCAGTCTTCATTAATATGTAAGTATTAATGTGTCATTTGATAAAGAAAAATGCCACTTGCTCAAGACTGTCCTTGAAAGGCTGGCATATATATGAATGGATCTCAACTGCACAGCATGAAAACACTGTCAACAGATCTGAAGGAAAAAGGAGAACTAATGTTCTGAAAAACACCAGCACATAAAAAGTTCTGCCATTTCTGGGATGAGATCAATTTTTCTCTTTCCAAGTACAGAATCTGACTTTTTCATATAGATTACAAAAACCTCAAATTAAAAGCCAGACAATGCTTGAGGGTAGTTCTAGGGCCACGGTAACATTTATTCATCAAATGATAGATGCTTCCTAGTCCAGAATAGAGAAAAACCTTTTACAGTCTTCCCCTATCTATGCAGCTTTTAGCACCTTTCAGAGATAAATTGTCTTGGAGGTGAAACCAGGGAAGGCATCTAACACACTTTGGACCAAAAGAAATTAAGCCTGCCAATTTGCATCATCTGTTCTTAAGGAAGGTGCTCAAGTCCTTACAAGAATGTTTTTTATTCCTTGGGGAAAAAAGGGAACAAAAAAACCCCCCAAGCTGTCCAATTCAAACAGTTCTCCAAAAAAATTTTCTTCAATGACCCCTCCACGTGAACAGAATTATCAAAATTTTAACTTTTTCAACTGCAGCTGACTCCCAAAGGAGAAAAAAAAACACTTTGAAAACAAAATAAACCTTTCAGTAATTATTGTCAGACTTTTACTGTTTTATTCCCTATATGAAAAGTTATTTAAACACTTCTCCATACTGTATTCTCAGGATCTAAAGAAGGCCCATCCTTTCTGTAATCAGTGTCCTATCAGCCTTCAAGATGTGTTTCTCTATAGAGAAATTTACAATAACATATTTGAAAAACAGAAGAAGTCTAGAAGATGTTCTTCTTCCTCATACACTGACACTGGAAGATACTGCAAAAGAAAGGTTAGGACACTCTAGACCCCAAAGCAATTCTAGTATTCTTAATAATTCTTACAACTAAACTCAATAAAGTCTCAAAGAATAGAGAACTTTGAAGTTTTTCAGTTACTCAAAGGCAAGGAGATGCTTTCTGCAAGGGAGAAAAAAAAAACCATAACACAATTGAGCAAACTTCTGTCCTCAATATACTACTTCAGTGTGTTTTAGAAATACAGCCTTTGAAACAAAACTGTATAGTTATGTCATAAATACAACTTTTTTCTTCTAACAACTTGCCTCTAATTACACCATTAACATTATCCTGATATCCTGCAGTTAAATCATTTCTTGGTGTACTGATCTATGTAAGGCTGCTTTTGCCACTAAATCTTTAGCAGATTAAGTCTGGTATTCACAGACATGAAGAAACATGGCAGCAGATAAACCTTTTTTTTTTTTAAATCACTTCTTCAAGTTTGAAGTATTTCTAGCATCTCTTGATTTTAATTAATAATTAATGTTATTAATTAAAAATAATAATATTAAATAAATCATTTAATAATTAATAGATTAACTATTCACTAAATCTGCTCTATTCTATTGCTTAGATTTTGGAAATGAAGTGAAAGTGCAGTAAAGTAATAGGTTTCGCCAGGCTTGCTTCACCAGCACAAACACTTACTGGTTAGCAGGTTCCATACTATGGGTAGGCTCTCAATATACCCTAGATCGCTGCACTACTGTTTGTGTGATATGAATAGAATGGTTCAAAAAGTCAACACTGGGTAAGTACGTAGACATAAAATTACCACAGAGTAAATTAAGTCTGCACAGTGTAACAGTTATTCTGAAGTACTTTCCTGGGCAGATTCTCTTACCTCACGGCAAACACATGGCAACTCACTATCAACAGGCAGGCTACCTCGTATTACTTTGTGGAATAAAAGAATTCACATGAGCAGTTATTGACAAAACAGCGGCATGCTGCCAGTTACAACTGCCTTCTAGCAACCCCTACACATAACAACCTAAATACCCATACACACCACACATCCTCCCCCATCTGCTAATGAAAACCAAAGATAGACAGACAGCACGTCGCTGTGGTAAGCAACCCTAAAAAGAAAGCCAATGTTTTGATGACTGCAATGTGCTCTGTTTAAAACTCTGACTGAACAAGTAAATTTAGTATTCTAAAATGCTAAGAGGGTTAAGAGAAATCTGTTAACACTTCTTTACAAAGGGAGTTAAAGCAACATAGGAAAAAATACTGAACTCTTACACTCCTCAGACACATTAGAAAGTCCAGACTGATAGATGACTGTTTAAGCAAAGTTTTTAATAATACTAAGTGTTCCACCATTTCAGGTCAGGCAACCTTTAGCTGTAAATCTGTATATTAAGCATCCTATTAGTTAATGTTTTACCAAATACCCCACTGAACCAGTACCTGTTAGGATTTAATTTAATTTGCTACAATGTTAACCCACCTTTCAGAGACTTCTTGTTTTAGCTTTGGCATATCACCCGAAGACAGGTCAGTGTCCAGGAAACCCAGGAAGTCCCTTTCTGTATTAAAGGACTCTTTGTCCAGATCAATGTCTGATGGGTTTTGACCAACGAATGAAGAATCTAAACTCCTCTGATGCAAATCTAATGCATCAACTTCAGCAGGGCGACCACGAATGCTAGCAGCGCTAAAAACATCACCTCCTTCCAATTCTAAGTTGCTGTTTTGTTTCACATCACGCTGAGGTCGACTATTCAACCCATCATCTCTGAATCCTTTAGCAAAAGGATTGTAATCTATTTTCAGCTGGGTAATCTGGATGTTCTGGTAGGCTGTAACTGCAAAGAACTCTGTCTGTGGAAAGGTAAATGTATGGACATCAGGACCATTAAGCTGAATGACTTCTGTAGCTTTGTCTGCAGGCACCAAGTGAAGTCGTGGCAGATAACGGTGCATAGAATGCAAGATTATATGACCCTCCTGGTCCAAGGTGTTGTTGGTAAGTTTGAGTTTGTAGAAGGATACTGGCTGGTGCATCCAGTACTGGCCAGTGGAAGGGGATTCTGGATGAATAAACACTCGCCCAAGAACATGTGGTTCTGCCTTTCCACTGGGCTCCCACCAACGGCCATTCCATTTGTATCGATGATTGTCCACAGGGGATATGTCCATGACTAGAATGTACTTCTGACTGGCATCCAGACCTGTAATCCAATATCGGCAGTAGGGAAACATGCGCCTCCCCTGCTTCGTCAGAATCATCTCTGTGTTGCGATGGTAGAATTCATTCCACATGCTGTTGTTGTCTAGGGTGACGGTAATGCCCCCTGAGACACAGTCAGCTGGGAGGCAGGTCTTGACTTTGGATTTTATTGGAGTTGATACACTGCTGGCGAGAGCACAAGCATCACGGTTTGCTACCAGGATTCCTTGGTCAGCTTTACTGTTTCCCTGCTGTTGTTTCAAGATGACAAAAAAAGTAGGCGCTGCACCAGACACAGTCCCACCATCCCGGCCACTCAAGACAATCTGCTGTTTCTCCATGATGAGCACTCTTACAAGCTCCCAAATCAAATGGAAATTCTACTCAGTTCTGATAATCTTCTCTGTGTGTTCACCATTCTGCAAAAAAGGAAGACTCAGTTAAAATTATTCAAATACAGTCTAAAAAAAGTAATTAAAAAATCCTTTTTGTAACAGTAAAAACTTAAAAGATAATCAGTACTCTAAAAGCAAGCACAATCAGGATGTATCAAATCAAGGTTGCCTGTGTGCATATAATTTAGGCCTTATAGACATGCAGGCTATGACACCTTTAAACTGCATTCTCATATAATGCTTTGCCACAACAGGACTCCTCGCTTTCCTTGATATTTCAAAGTGCTCTTTGTTCTGATATTGCCTGAACTCTTCAGATCATTTGCTTAACGAACAGCATTTGGCAAAATGCGCAGAAGTTTTCAGAAGAGCAAATGACACAAAGGCAGAAGTCATTCGCTCTTGCCAGAAAGAAAGAGTTCCCAGAGGTCCAAAACTTCTCAAAAACAAGAAGGGGAAAATAAGGGAGGGGTGGAAAGAGAGAGAGAAGTTAAAAAAATTTTCCCCAAATCTCTTTATTGAAAAAGACTGAGTTTGTGTGGTTGGGATTTCTTTGCCCTCCCTCTCCCCTGCCCCAACTCCAAGAACTTCTAAATATCTGTCCAAGGCAGAGACAACGAACAGAAGGGAAAAAATAGTTCAAATGGATAAGCCTTGGGGAAACACAGACAAACTAACCCCCCCAAATGCAGCCAAGACTAAATGGATGAGTGTGAAGCACCAGGCAACCTTAGCTACCTCTACCTTCTAAACTATGGAAATAATTTAAATCAAATAAGAAAACATTCATACTGTTATGACTAGCAGTTACCTTTATCTGCATATACACAACTCCACTTTTGCGTGTCTACCTCACAGGTTAAGTATTACATCAACATTAACAAAAGATCATAAACAACTTCGTTTTTCAAACAGCCTGTACATTTCTCAATGTGAAAATTTAAAGCACTCCTAGTAACTCACAAGAATGCCATTCCCACATTGAGAGGTTTGCATTTTGATAATTATGTATGGAATATAACACTGAAAAAATAGTTGATTCCTGTGGGAACCAGAGACACAAGTGAATCACCACCACTAGGAGTTAGCTGCTTGAAAACAATCATATTTCTTTCCAGAGAATTAACTGAAAGTCACGAGTTTTAAGTGAACTAGGTATTCAGTAAGACATATTTATTTTGTTAGGACTGGGTTACTGCAGGAGGAAACACTCCTCTGTGCAAACCAGCTGCCACATGCATGTGGGAAATGACCTCAAAGCCCAGGAGGCAGGCAGTTTATACTCCATGATAAATGTTCCTGACACCTAGGAAATACAAGACACCTATTTCCACCCTTTAGACTTTGCACTTTAAAACTTCATAGAAAAGTTAAATTGAAGGAAAAAACCAAAACCGTTCTCCACAGGTTTTGAGACCTGTGAAGTTACAAGATCTGGTTTTCAGTTTTACTTTGAGGAGGCAAGACTTTCCCACAACCACCCCCCCACTCAGGACTACTTAACGGACTCTAGAACACAAAATGAATTAGCTGTTCAAGATCAGCTTCATATTTTCTGTTTTAACAATGCTGAAGCAACACAAAAAGTTATCTCCCAAAAAAAGCTTTTTCATGTTCATCTATTAAAAAACAGAAATATGAAACTCTATTAACAATCAGACACACGGAGTGGAGAGAAAGAAATCACATCCTACGTTGTATGTGATTTCCCATCAACCTACCCTCTCTCTCTATATATATACAGCATGTTTATATGTATATTGAGCATACAATCAGAAAGTGAGTTCACATTAATGCTGTGCAATATACATCAAAATTGTATTAGCTCATGAAGGAAATACACTATCAAAAGCGATATCACATCTGGTTTAAGGTATGCAGAAAGCCTGTAACTTTAAATTTACTTGAGGTAGAAATTACACATGCCAGAAATCAATTCAAAAAAGCTCAACAACCATGCATTCAGCAAAAATTCTATGCATAAAGAGCTACTGAGTCACAGTTTCTGTTTTCCAACATTTAAAGTTCTTACACTGCACTCTTGTAGTTATTTCTCCCATAAGCACTGCTCACAGTACCAAGTCAGTCTAAGACGTGTGTGGTTACAATGTGATTACGTGCAATTACAGTAGCCAAAAGCTACAGTATTTCAGTGCTAACACGGTGTATTACAAGAACAATTTCACACATTTTATGACACTTGCTCATACAGATTACCCTATTTTATTATAGCATGCAGTTTCTAATCTAGTAGTATTTCAAGGAAAATGTGTGTATTTGTGGAAGTTGAAGTTCTAATTGGCTTTGGATATTTCACCTCTCTACCCATACACAGACCTTATATTTGAGAAGCAACATCGAACTAGACAGCAGTGGCCAAAAATACTCAAAGTTGCACTGGGTTGTGCTAAAAGCAAGAAGATAATAAAATGTGAAGAAATCCGCTTAAAAAACAAAAACAAAAAACAAAAAAAAAAAAAACAAAAACAAACACAAAACTACACACAAAAAAAAAACCCCAAACCCGGCAGACCCCGACCTGCAAACAAGACGACTATTTATGTACACAACGCTCATGAGCAAGCAGCTCTGCACGGGTTTTCTCGGGCCGAAGGGCAAGCAC